TTACCATGGAAACTCTGTTTCTGGTCAACTGACCCAGGCCAGAACACCGTACATTCAGCCAATCCAACAACCGCATGCCACTGGGAACTAACTGTCAACAACAGCAAACAGTCCATTCACTGCAAATGTTTACGAGAAGACACCGGCAATAAGGGCTGAACATGCAGAGGAAGAAGCAGATGGACATTAAGGTCTAATGGGCGGCTTCTGGTACGAACCAAGTGTTTTTCATGCTGCCTATCTTCACAGCTGCTCGGCAAAGTCCTGGCACAGATGGCTAGTTGTGAAAGAAGTATCAGGAAACAATTGTCCAGAACAACTGGTAATTTCCTGTTGCTGAGATGTGACAGCTGAGCCTAGATCAGGTACATCCACTGAACATAATACTAATTTTAATATATCAGATGCCTTACAAATATTTATTATTTATATAAATGATATTTGTAAGGCATCTGATATATTAAAATTAGTATTATTTGCAGATGACACAAATATTTTTTGTTCTGGGGGAATCTAAAGGAGCTGCTGGATACAATTACTTCAGAAATGTGCAAAATTAAAAAATGGTTTAACAGGAACAAACTATCGCTAAATCTAAGTAAAACTAAAATTATCTTATTTGGGAATTCCCTTAGAAATGCACAAGTGCAGATTCATGTAGATGGTGTGGAAATTGAAAGAGTACTTGAACATAAGTTCTTGGTGTGATTATAGATGATAAATTAAACTGGAAGTCTCATATAAATCATATACATAACAAAATTTCAAGAAGTGTCTCAATCTTGAGTAAAGTAAAACACATTCTGGACCACAAATCACTCCACATTGTCTATTGTTCCCTGATTGCACCGTATTTGAATTACTGTGCAGAGGTTTGGGGCAATACTTACAAATGTTCGCTATCATCAATCTTTATATTACAAAAAAGGGCCATAAGGATAATCCATAAAACTGGTTACAGAGATCATACAAATCCACTATTCTTAAAATCAAAAATTCTAAAATTCACAGATCTGGTTCATTTTCTCACAGCACAAATTATATATAAAGCAATAAATAACCTGCTTCCTGACAATATTCTAAAAATGTTTTCTAAAAGGGAACGGGGATACAATTTGAGGGGGGAATTAAATTTAAAACATCCTCGCATCCGTACAACATTAAAAAGTTTTTGCATCTCTGTGTGTGGAGTGAAGCTGTGGAACAGACTAAGTAAAGATATGAAGCAATGTCCAAGCATGGCGCAGTTTAAAAAGCGGTTTAAGGATATGGTTTTTACAGGGTACAGGGAAAAGGTAGAGATTTGATAGGGTGTTCTTGTCTAATATTTTCATGTGTGTGCGCATGCACGGGTTTGTTGGTATGGGTATATATATATATATATATATATATATAATTGTAGGTTGTGTATCCTTGAGGTGTTAATGGGGTTATTGAAAATGTGTATATGTGCGTATGTGTGTATATACGTATGTATGGATAGATAGAAACATATATGTGTATATATTAAAAAAAAAATTTACACATAACATATAATGTAATTACAAGGAGGTATTTCTGTAGTCTATTGATACTAGATAGTGGAAAAGGGGTGGGATTAAATAAGCTTATGCTTCTTCCTGCTCCTTTTTGAACATGGACGTTATTTGGAGTTGTGGTTGCTCGTTTTCCTTTGTTTGCTTTGTTCATTTGTCTCTTTTAATTCTATTTTTTTAATACTTTTTCAACATGTTCAAAATAAAGATTCAATCAAATCAATCAAACATCAAAATATACTATCATCATGATTATATATGACAAACTAACAAATCACCATGTCTAATGAGACATGTACGGTGATGACGCCACCAGGAATGATTTTGAACCTTGCAGTAGTCCGTAGCAGTGCTGTGCATTTTGACCTCATGTTTTCTGCTGTCTTAGGTTTTGCTCAGTGAAATGTGAAGTTTCTCTTTATTCAAATTCAGATACTGGAGTGTTTTTGAAACTGAACTAAAAAGATTTGGCCGTAACAGCCCACTTCTCTTCATGTCTTCTGGGTTTTTTCTCTGTTCTGTCTGTCTATGCACTAACTGCCACAAACAGCAGCTGTAAGCATCTCCTTATTTCTCATTGTCTGTGGCATCATGAGAATCAGCTGCTGATTTTATCAGCTATTAGCCACTGCATACAAACCCTAACAACTCGTGTGTTCATTCGTGAAACTTTAATCCTCAGCACAAGGGTCACATTCCAAACACTACTACATAATTCAGAGCTTAAATATTTTGGTAAATTAAACTGCATATTTCAATCTTTTCAGACTGCAATAACCGAAAAACGATTTCTGACTGATATTTTTACGTTTCCCAATTCGCACACAGCTTGCATAAATTTTTATTTGTATACCAACACTATGGAGGTCTCCTTCATTATCTGGATTAGACCAACTTCCTGTTAATCGTTAACCAATATGGCTGGTAGCGCATGTTCTAGACAAGTAGCAGGTACAGGAGGGACCTATGAGATGTGGGAGTGATTACAACATTAATTTATAGTGCAGAGTGCAGAAAGATGTATGAACAGAGAGCATGCAAAGGGATAGATAAAAATGAATGGACTTTTATCCTCACAGAATGATTGCTTAAGTGCATCGCTTTAGTCTGCACACAAACACAAGGCCCAATAATCTTTAAAAATCTTGTCTAGATTTACACTCTGTCCCTTAATTTCCTCTGTAATGGATCCCTGATTGTCGTGGAGGAACAACCCACCATCCCAAGCCCAACCCAAGCAGTGTGGTGGCCCCCGAGGGCAGGCTGGTGGTCCTTGGCCAGTGTTTGTGAAAGGGCCCCAAGCTGCATGCACCGTGGCAAATGAGGCGCGTGACTCATCAGACCAAACATGGGATTAGCTGGTAATGATCTGGCAAATGGTTTTGAAATTGTAATTATCTGGCCTTCAGCTGGATCTGCTAGGAGGCAGGGACACATAGAAGGACTGACAAAAAGGAGATAGAAAGGAAAATTATAGTTATTATTTGCTACGTGACATGCACATTAGCAAAAGTCTCATTTAAATATAGTACAGTTGGGACTAACAGAGAATACACGCACGAGATTCAAGCAGACGGAGAACTTAAAGAAAAAGGACTGAAACATGAACATGGAGAGGCAACAAACACTTTCACATCCTAACACATGTCCACTCCAATCTGACATAACTGAGCTCTAACTCTGTGTTGATCCATCCAGGCAACAAAATAACTTCCACAAAGACTGATGTAACCCGTCCAGTCATTACTGCTGACCTCTGCTGCCACCTGCAGGGAGGAACATAGAACAACTTGTAGCGATGCCCACTAAAGTTCCACGTGCTGGGGTATGAGTTACTGCAAACCCAGCAGCAAAGCAAGAAAAATATCAAATAACACAAGTCCAAGTAAGTAATGAACCAAGAACACATATTATAGTTTTAGACTAAATTTTACCAAACAGTCTGAGTTCACTGAAATATTCAATAATACCCTTCATGAAGCCTGGCCATCATTACAGTTTTTCTCAAATGCTAAAACACATTTCACAAACGTTACCACCAGGTCCCCCAATGTCCAAACACAACACCCTTCTCTAAAGCTACATAAACACAACCACACCTTCCCACTGCAAAACTCAAACTCCCACACCAAGAGAGCAGCTCGAAGCTGTCAAAACTATAAACACTATACACAGCATTACACACTACAGCAAAACTATTGAAAACACAATGCTCAGTTTGTGAGAAGGTTCTTTGTTTCATAACTGCCAATGCATATTTTAGAAGCTATACAGTAACGGATCGTCGTAGATCTCTGCAGAGGATTAGGCATTTAGATTTGTGAGTTTCATATGAGTAGTATAAATCTATGGAAAATCCTGCATGTACGTACACTACTGTAACACAACTCAATGCAAAAACAGAATCTATTGCACACAACAGTAATCTTGAAAACATGAACAGGGTGTGAAGTGTATTTACGTTATTCACACCACACACACCACAATCACTGTGCGGCATCATGTCGCTGAGCTGTTGCTCGCATCTCGTCCGTAATGATGGTGCGAGGTTGTCTTGCTCTCCCTCCTGGACCTTCTCCTCTCCCATGTTGGCCTCCTCCTCTTCCTCGTTGGTCTCTCCTCTTCCTCCTCTCATTTGAACTCCTCTTCCTCATTGGCCTGCTCCTCTTCTTCCAGGGCCAGCTCTTCTCCTCCTCTGCATCAAATTCCTCTTCCCCTGACTCTGCCTTCATCCATTGTGTTTGTTTGGAACCTTCAGCATACTGTGCACTCTGAACTTGCTTTTACATGTGGGTACAGCATTAGCAACAAGTGTCTTCAATTTGAGTCATTGTGTGTAGTGACTGACGCCAGGTGTGTTCCCTGTGTTCAAAGATTGGTGACTGTGGCAAGCATTTTGCATCACATGGGCTTTCATTTGAGGATATGAGCAGAGTTGTTTTGCAACATGTGTTTTAGCAAGGAAAAATGTGTTTAGATTTATGAGTACAGAGGGTTGTGTTTTGTGAATTGTGTCTTCATGTGACATGTGTTTACGGTACTGGAATATGGTGGCTACATTTAGTAAATGTGTTTAGACTACTGGTCATTTGGGTTACAGGATTGGCTTTTGTGTTTTAACATTTGAGAAAAACTAATGTTACTGCTCTCTACCAACCCTCTCTCCGTGAGTCTTGACTAGGTACATACAGACTTTTATTGTGAAGGTTGGGCACTCTTGTCCATTAATCCTCTTAGCAGATTTGCCTTTGAAAAGCAAACCCTCCAGCTGCCATGATGTCTTTTAGAGTGCACAGTAGTAACACTGAAATGAAGATGCCACGTTTCCACAATGCCAGCTGACAACCAGACAGATTCAGACGAGGAGGAGGAGGAAGATGACGGCGGGAGTGAGGGAGGAAATAGTTCATCTGTTGTCACTTTTTTCAGTAGTTTAATTTCAGGTGTGTTTTCATGTCAGTGTAACTAACCCGACTCTATTCAAGCTAACTTTGAATTGTTGTGAGTTTTTCTGAGTGGTGTAATCAGTGTTGTTTTTGATGCAGCTCCTCTTGTTCTGTAGTGACACCCTACCAAAGACATCACACAGTGTCACCAATGTTTTGCTGATGTTGTTTGTAAATGTCTTAACTGCAGCACCCCGAGGAAACCCTGAGGCCTGTACTACAAGGCAGGGTGTGGGCTGATCTGGGTAACTCTAGAGTTCACTCTGAGCCTTCTGTACTATGAAGCAAGTTCAACATATCCAGAGTATCTTTTCATGACCTGGAAGCACTTCCCCTAACACTGACGGTCAGCATAAGTGGTTGCATGATGCTGGTTATCAGCCTGCTAAGTTAACCTGGGGTTTACTGATACAAGCGTGTTCATATGAAAGAGTTGTGTTGGAAACATCTGGCAAATCGCATTGATTAGTGCACTGGCAGCTGAATTGAAGAATAAACTATAGATTTAGAAAAATACACACATAATACAGAATGAAAGCAACAAAACATAAATAATTGATGAAAGATGAAACTCACTTTACAATGTTTACAGTTGGGGCAGATTGCTGCCCCTCACTGAGCCTGTTTGGAAGGTTCTTCCTGTTAAAAGGGAGTTTTCCTTCCTTCCCATGTTGGGGTTTTCTCTGCGTTATTGTAAGATCCTTGTCATACAATATAAACCTGGAGGCAACTCTTGCTGTGATTTGGTATTATAAAAATAAAACTGAGCTGAAATGAATTTATTTAAAAGTATGAACAGCATCAATGACTTTGCACTTCAGGAGCTTCGGTCAATAAGACTGGAAAGAGGCTTTAGCTGATTTGAAGTCTAGAAAGAAGCTAAACAACTGGGAAGTCCACAAACTTATGACGATCTCAGCTCCCAGACACGGGAGAATCTGGTGGATCATAATCGAGCATTTTCTTAAATTCATATTTTTATCGTAAGAATACAGAAACATAATCTGCTCACGTTAAACTTGTTTGGTCGCGAAGCAGCGACGTCGCAAAATGATGACTTCACGTGTTGACTTTGTCGTCAGACTGCGCGACAAATGTAGTCTTATTTATTTACGGAAGCTTAAGCCAGGCGGTAGTTCGCACTTACATCCTGGATAAGGAGAACTACTGGATTTGATTATTAAATATTTCTTTCAACTCGCGAACATTAACTTCAGTCGAAGTCTCACTCTTTAGATTTGCCTCTAAAGTGCGTTGACCTGTTAGCCTAGCTTAGCCTAGCAGCACTGCTCGGCCGAGATGTGTCCTGAGCTAGCACCGCCGACAGCATGACAGCACTGTGATATCTGGTGTTTGTGTGTGACTGTGTTAAACTGCCGCTGGTTAAACAGGGTTTGTACGAAAGTGGGGCTGCTTCCGGACCGTTCACAACATGTTAAACGTCCCGACCCAGTCCTTTCCGGCACCGAGCTCCCAGCAGCGGGTCTCTCCGTCCGGCCAGTCCGGGAGGAACAAGGTAACTCACTTTCTGGATCCCCCGAACACCCGTGAATCCCGCACACGCCCGTTACACACTTTATTGTGTTGATGCGCTTTCTCCCTTCTTTACTTTTGTAACCATTTATTAATTATCCTCCAAAATATTTATTGCGCAATTGACTTTTTTTTACATTTCTCTTTATTATTCTAATAAATCAGAGCGTCTATTCTGGCAAATAAGTCAGTGAGTTAAACCTGGCACATAAAATAAACTCGCAGTGGAAATAACCGAGTAATCTGGAGACACCTGTGTCGTCGTTTCCGCTCATGAGAACAACTGAACACTTTTTGCCACATAAATCAAGATTTCACGTTGTTACCTGGAAATGTCGAATCCAACAACGAGTTCGTGCCTAATTTATTCCAAGTGAAAATGTTTTTTGTTTGTTGTTTTTTCAGTGGCGGAAGCAAATATTCTGCTAAATAAGTAAACGTAAAATAATGTCAGAGCTTACTTCGTGGGATGCATCAGTTGTTGTGTATGTGAAGTAACAAGGCTGGTTGCTGTTATGGCAGATTTATGTTTTGCATTAGAGAGCAGTATTTATTCGTTCAGAGTTTTGGGGTTTTGAACGTCACACCATTAACATCTGGCATATTAGCAGAATTGAGTTTCCACAAAGCTCCAGAGCTCTGCTGTCTAAAATGAGTTCCTAACGTTTTTCATGACTCTGCCCTCAAAGGTGGCCTTGAAGCCGGGCCACAGTCTCATGGACTGGATTCGGTTTGCCAAGAGTGGAAAAGATCTTACTGGACTCAGAGGGCGCCTCATTGAAGTTACTGAGGAAGAACTGCGGAAACACAACAGGAGAGAGGACTGCTGGACCTGCATACGAGGTGAGTCTGCAGAGGCCTTTCTTCTTGGAGAAAACTTCATGGCACTTCTCTTTGTGAAGTTTGTCCTTTTGACAAACTATATAACAAACAAATATAACAAACTAAATAGATGCAAGTAAAACACAGCAGAAAATAAATAAAGTCAAAGACTCAGCGGTCCTGTTGCTCTATTTTCACCTGTAAAGCAGGAGTGGGGCAGGCGGAGCTTTACCCTGGTGCAGGTGTGCCCCAGTCAGTGGAAGAATCCGCGAATTTCTCTGTGAGTTTCCCATCACGTCGTAGCTACTTGGTGCTTGTTGGAAGTTTAGGGGTTTTTTGCTGTAAAAAGAAGTTTTCTTCCCACGCACAGCGGACACTAATGTTTTTGTCACTTTTTATGGAATCAAACTTAAAGTAAGGTCAGTACTTCCACGCTTTAAACGCTGCACGCTCATACTCTCTCCGCACTTGATATATAATATACTGTTGACCTGCACACAGCTGTTGTCACTAACAGCGCACTCGCTTACGTCACTGTCGTGAGACATTCTCGCAAAAAATCACGGTTTTAGTAACGCAGTAACGCAGCGTTCCTACGGGAAAGTAACAGTAATCTAATTACCGTTTTTGCAATAGTAATCCCTTACTGCCCATCTCTGATCACGATACACGATATATCACAATATGTCTGAATAACCTCCAAAAACAAATGTGATTTTCAACCATACACGGCCCAACATTGCACAGCTGTACTCATTCAAATTCACCGTTCAGTATGTTTTTCTACTTTGAACACAAAAAATCTGAATGAATTGAAATGTTTTATTTGAACCCTTGTGTTGTCCTTGGGACATTTTTGTCCTCTAAAGAAATGTTTTGCTCTCAACAATGTGTTTTTTATTCATCAGATGGTCTGAAAATAACAGAAGTTATTCATTACTATACTATGCATGACTGGAATAAGTTTTAAGTAATTTGAGTTATTTATGGGATTTTTATTGGATTTTATGACATCTCTTGTCCTCGGGGACAAAAATGACCCCAAAGTACAAAGTGTTGCAAAGAGCCGTATTTTCACACCATACTGCTTTCAAACATCTTTGATCTTGGATCATTGATGTGTGGGGTCAAACAATGGTCATAACAACCACAACAGGCAGCACAATGAGGAGGCAGGTGCTCTACATTCAATTACATTTTATTTATACAGCGCCGAATCACAACAACAACCGCATCAAGGTGCTTCATATTGTAAGGTCGACCCTACAATAATACGTACACAGAAAGTAGCTCACAGGTCTCCATTGCAGTGGAGGCTTGTGAGCATACTTTTTTTTTTTTACCATGTTGTGCAAAGCAATGACCAGTAGGACAAAGCACATATTGTCCTCTAGTATAATGAGGAGGAGAATCAATGTTCAGGAAGATCCAGGGTTAGAAGATATAGAAAATATTTGTCAATATTTAGAGCACATGCTACCCTTTCTCTGACAAAGCACATCAGCCACCTGCAGAAGTGGAAGAAGGCTATGAAGTGAAGGAAAGTGATGAAGAATCTGAACTATGTTCAAGTAGGTTCTCAGGCATCCAGGACATGGTAGTCTGAGGAGCTTGTCCAAGGACACCTTGGTAAGAACTCCAGACTAGAGCACACAGAGATTGAACCAACAACCATCCAATTAGCAGATGACCTGCTCTACAGCCAACTCGATGATGAACAAGGAGGGACAACGAGAGAGGAAGAAAAATGGACCGAATGCAGCTGTAGGCATATGTGGGTGTGTTGATTCTTACTGCCGTGCATCCAGCAGAGTCGCTACGGCCAGTTTATGACATCCTGAGTCTGGTAGAGAAGTTTTAAAGGTGACACAAGATTAATCATAGAAGCACAAAAAGGACATAATTTCTTGATAAAGACACAATAGATGATCGTCGTTCATGACACAAACGTGCTCCCATTTGAGGTGTATGGAACAAGTGGGTGTTTCTCCTGCTGTGATGTAAGATCCTGGTACTGATGTGACTGTATGAGCACCAAGTCCCCTTCAGAGGACTCTGTCCAACAGAACATCCAAGTAAACCAGGGAACTTTGAGACAAAAACATGGGCAGCATGTGATGCAGGTCCAGCTGTACATGGAACATGCTCTTGTGTGATGGCAAACCGTCTGTCCTGCAGTCAGGACACGAGTTGTCCCTAACATTGCAGGTTTCCAAAAGAAAACAATCACCTGTAACAGCTTGTTTACTGTATATGCCCCTTGGCCTGCAACTGCAGAAAGAATGCTGTCCATGATGGGACCAGTGCAGAGGAATAAACCTGAGCTTCCTCCTGCACTTGGGTCAAATATGGACACGCCTTTGTCCTCATGAAAGTTTGCCTTCACTCAGACTCATGCCCTCCTACCATGCCAAAATATAGAAAACTGTCAGGCAATGAGTTGGAATAAAGATGAATAAAACCTTGAAACACAGAAATGATATTTTATACTTGACAGGGGATTTCTCTAAATCACCCCGTAGTTCTTCAGCTAAGACGCCTGAGTTAGAAAACACAAACACTGCAGTTGTCTTTACTCGCGAGAGCAGTCATGGACGCACGACCTGCGTCTCATCACTGTCTGCGTGCTTTATTTATACTTGTCTGTGTGCGTGCGTGTGTGTGTGCGTGTGTGTGCGTGTGTGTGTGTACAAATAGCTTCTTATTCTAAGAACTCTGAGCTGAGGTTCCCCTTTTTCTAAGTCTGTATGTTCTTACAGAAAGAGGAAGCTATTAGTTGTTTATCACACAAAAGTACATGTCAAACGTCACGTAGACATTTGCTTAGTGATCAATAAAAGAATACATTTCATGAAGCTGATCACATTATATAAAAACTATTTTCCTTTGACAGTACTTGTTGCTTTATAAACAGTCAAAGCAAACGGGGGCATTTTTGAGCCCAGAGGACAACAGATGTGATTATTTGCTGCCAGTAAAAAACTTGTAGTTTAAAAACAGTTTCCTACATTAACTTTGACATAAACCCGTCTGTGATCATCTGTTAAAGCAGCCGACTCTGGTTGTGAAACGATAATCACAATAACTGATGATTTAATTTATTTTTTACCCAAAAACAAAGAAACATTTTGTATAAATGAGACATACATTTGAAATGGAATAAAAAAATAGTGTCAAAACAGTGCCCAAAATGTAACATGTAGGGTAAATTTTGTGGTCATGTGTTGGTCTTAAGTAAAACTAAGCTGTAACACTGAATTGATTGGCAATTTATACTTTTAAAAACAGTCAAATGAAGTGGGGTCCCGTGGTATCAGGAGGACATTATGAGGGTTCGCCACAGAGGTTTGTCACAGTGACGATGCTGTTCGTCTCTTTCTGTCGTCAACAACACTGATATTTAACAAAAGATCACGGCAACAGAAAAGGGCATTGAGCAATGTTTCATCAGACAAAACAACTGAAATTAAAAATGTGCTCCTTTGTGCTTAAACAAAAACTGTCTAAACAAAAGTGTAGACGGCGACTACAAAAACCCCTGACTGGTGCAATCCAAACGACAGCGAGTCTCAAACTCCCGCCGCCACCATGTTTTTCCCGATGTTGTAGTAAATAAACACGCATGCTGAGTGCAGTGTGTCAGGTTGGGAGGGGGGAATTAGTGATGCATTTGCAGTGTGTGGGAGAAAAAAAACTCAGTGAATTACATGCAGACAGCTTAATATTGCCATGGCGACGTATACTCAATGGTTACGATAAAGCCATTTATGCGTCGCACGTGGAAAAACTCGCGATACCTCGCGTGTATTCGATAAACATGGCCCGCCCTAGTTTGAAGCTGTTTCATTTAAGGTAAAGCAGACGTGCTGCAGCCTTTGAGGACGAGGTCTCTCTGTGTGAGGAGCCCAGTCACTGATAACACAGCTGATTTCTCAGCAGAGTGTGCACGCTCACGATGTGGGACCTTTCTGGGTTTTCTGAGTGTATTCTGTGTAATTTTAAAAATATAATTAATTAAAAATATGATAATATTGAACAATCGTTTTATACTGTTTTATCTGTTTCTGTCTGCAGAGGACAAACATAACTTAATACACAAAACGTTGTGTGGATGTTTTTGACAGGTATGGTGTATAATGTGAGTGCCTACATGGACTACCACCCTGGTGGAGAAGAGGAGCTGATGAAGGCAGCAGGAGTAGATGGAACTGAACTCTTTGACCAGGTATGGAAGCAAAAAGTAAATGCAGTGTATTGTATAGTCTGGAATGCATCTGCAGATTTATGATAAGTGGTAAACGTTTAATTGGTTTACCAGTGTGCACACGAAGCGCCTGTAGGCTCATTTTCCTATCAAGCATCACTGGAATCAATAAATCAGTTACAGAGTCGACTTCACATGTCCGCTCTTTATTCTAGGCAGGATTTGTTTGTTTAGTCATGCCGATGTGTTTAGCTTCGATTTTAGCGTCAGACTGTGACATAGTTCTTTATCAGTCTCAGAGTCAATTAAAACGACTCTCCTGTTGGCTTCATGTGTGAAAGTGGGGCCTCGCTAACAGGCAAAGCTGAGCAGAGGTGAAAATAAGTCTGTAAGACTGCAGCAGGACTTGTGTTTGCAGTATGATATAGATTTGTAAGCTCAAAGCTTCAATTCAGCTTTATTTATACAGCGCCAAATCACAACAACAGTCGCCTCAAGGGGCTTTATAGTGTAAGGTAGACAATACATTGATAGATACAGAGAAAACCCCAACAATCATATGACCCCCTGCGAGCAGCACGTTGGTGACAGTGGGAAGGAAAAACTCCCTTTTAACAGGAAGAAACCTCCAGCAGAACCAGGCTCAGGGAGGGGCGGGGCCATCTGCTGTGATTGGTTGGGGTGAGACTGACTTGGATGAGTGTATATGTGTGTTTGTGAGCAGGTCCATCGCTGGGTCAACTATGAGTCTATGCTGAAAGAGTGCCTGGTGGGCAGGATGAGCACCAAGGCCGCCACAGCTGTTAGAGGTACACAGAGATTTACATCCGTCTGCACTCTGCAGAAAAACACAGCCTTTAACTAAGTCTATGAAGCTGGGGGTCGGGGGGCTTCTCACAAGTATACATGTAGAAACTGCTGTGACGCTACATCCTGGTGCTGCCATAGTTGTGTTTAAAAAATAAACATGTGTGCAGCTGTGACCAGTTTATTGGCACATCTGTAATAAATACACATAAATATAATCGAGTCATGCTGTGTATGTTCATGTTTAGTATGATGTGTTGTTGTTATTCCAACTGAAAGTTTTTGCTGCACCTAACATGGTTTCGTCTGTTGCCATAGCAATCCTCCCTCCCCCACCTGTGACTGGCCTCGCCTCACCGACTTCAGTGGCTCCTCTTCCAGACAAAGACTCTCGCCCTCGGTATGAAGGACAGTAAGCACCTAAAGAACACATCTGATAAGGAAGCTCTCGAGTGACAATATCCTCTTCTTCCTGTTGCTGCAGGTACGATTGGTTCCAGACTGATGGCACTGTTCATCTGGTTGTTTATACCAGAAGAAAGGTAATCGCTCCACCTGTGATGTGCTGTAAGATGGAGCTCTTCACATGCCCCCCTCTACACTGTGTGCATCCAGGCCCTGACTGTTATTGAGCTCCACTTGTGTCCTGTGTTGCTTTCATTCCTCTAACCAGTACAACCAGTACCAGCTGTGCACACAGTAACTGTACCATCTGTATGTGTCAGATACCCAGCTCAGGCTGTACCACTGTCGATCTAAAGGCAGGTGTTCTTCGACTGGAGGTGCTGCTGGGGAAAATGTCCTACATGATTCATTTGCGTGAGTATTGCTGTGTTGCATCGATCCTACGCAGCTCACTGCGCTGTGTCGTTGCAGCAGTCTTTCACTCTACATAATGAAAGCCCAACTCTCAGCTGTCCAATCTGGCAAACACAGAAACATTTTCATTAACTGTTGTTATCATCTGCCTGTCAGTCATAGCAGACTTGTGTAAGGAGGTAAGGTTGTGTAAGGTGTGGCACTAAGCTAAGAGGCCTTAAAGAGCTGCTGGGCTGGAAGTGTGATACACTACTTTAAAAAAGCACCTCAGCTGTAAAAGGCTCCTGGGGTCATCAACGTGGCCCTGCTGCGAGGCCGGCAGCATAGGTGCATCTATGAAAAGCAAACTACAATAACTCACATGAGGCAAACACTGAGCTTCACTGACGAGAGCGGGAGCTTCATACAGCACGCCTCATTCACCCGTACAAGCACCTTTTTTCTGTGCTTAAGTTCTTTCTGTCTAACATCGATACGCATTCGTACTCTGATGGGCACGTCGGTAGATCAGCTGATGACCCGCTCTACCTCCTGAGCTATCGCCACCCCAAGAACAGCAGATCAGCTGTCAAGCATGGTGGTGGTAGCATCGTGCTGTGGGGCTGCTTTGCTGCCAGTGGTCCTGGTGCAGAAGAAGGACGACCTCTGAACTCTTCAGCTAGACAGTTAAAGCAGCACAGGACAGTGATCCCAGACCGGACAGCTGTTGTTCTGCATAAAGCAGGTTAACATTAACCTTCCCAAAGCTCCGAGCTGAACTGTATTGAAATATGTGTAAAACTGACCAATTTAAACGAACTGTTCAAGGTTCAACATACCGAGAGACATTTGTGTGTACAGTATTTAAGCCTGTATGTATCTGTTTGACTTTGGTGAGAGAAAATACAAAATGGATTTAGATTTGTGTGCTCAATTCTTGTTTTTTTTTTCAGTCCACTTTGGGAAAAGAGCCGTTCCAAGAAATCATTAAAAGCCCAAAGTGAGCCTGAGTTTCGTGTAAACGTTTGACCACAGCTACACAAGAGCTTTCTCCCAAGCATTCCTCAGTTGTGGAAGTCCTACAGAGATATTTGTTAGCTCCCACATGTGTTGCTGCTGACTCTCTGTTCTCTTCACCCCTCACAAGTCACAGCAGATGTTTCTCTTTCTGCTGTCATTGAGCATTTCACCATAGAGGATCTGAAAGCTGGGGTTGTAGTCTTGGTCTTTGCTTAGCTTTATAAAGGTGTGAATCGGTGGTATCCAGATTTAGCTAAAATCAGATTATGGTTTGATTTGGTGCCAGAACTACTTGAATGTCTAATGAGACTTTTAGGTGCTGTTACTTGTGGAAGCCCCAGTTTTTTCTCCTGTGGAGATTGTTCCTCCAGCTTTTAGCACAGCTTCTGTCAACACAGCCCTAATGTGAGTTTCAAGCTTATGAATAAATGCTTTTGTTTGTAAAATCGACTGTCGTGCTTTTGCAGGTCTTTCTGATGAAGTTGAGGAAAATGTTGCAGGTGAACAACATCTTTGAAAACAGATTCTGTAAAATGAACATGCACTGTCTTGCTGTTGTCCTTAAGTTGGTAAGTTGTTATCATCTACAGTTCACACTGCTTTCTCCGTGGGAAAGATCCAGGTTAGCATACGCAAAGGTGCTCACGGAAAATGGGCGAGTCTCGGTCAACCTCTGGAGTCCCATAATACGTTTGTACGCCAAAAGGACCGAGGTGGGTTCCAACAGCATCACAGATGTGCCTGTGCAGCCCGTTCACATCGCTCCACTCGCTTCCTGCATGCTGTGTGCTCAGACAAAAAAAAAGATACATAGGAGACCACGTTGCTGTTCCCTGTTTTACAGCTCTCTTCTATCGGGATTGTGTGTTGGTGTCTAAGACTGAGGTGAACCACAACACTTACCTGTTCAGACTGCAGCTCCCTGCTGGGACTGTCATGCATGTGCCAGTCGGGAAACACGTCTGTCTGAAAGCGCTCGTCCAAGGTGAGCAGTCGCACAGGCAGCTGGTGAAACGTGTATAAGCTGCAGTTTAGAGGAAGCTTAAAACACCTGTGGAAGCAGGTGTGGTAAGCTGCTGAAAATAGAGCAGTGTTAGAAAGTTTATATTGTGTGGGGATGTTTCATTATCATCTACAACCATGAAGTACACAGTGGTACAGAGTATTCATATCCTTGTTGTTGGTGTCTTAAACCAGGTGCATTCAGTTTGCAGGCCTCCTGTCCAGAATAATGTGCTGCCCTCTTTCATCAGTGGGACAAACTGGTCCCCAGTGCTGCCGCCTGTGTGCGTTTGCTAACCTCCAAATAAAATCAGCATAAGGCATAAAATCTGATTATTGTGCTCATTTCATTTTGATGTGGAGAGGACGCAAACTGAAAATAAGAAAAACACATTACATGAAAGTTGTAAAGTGATTTTCAGTGAGTAAAATAAGTATTTGAACCACATGGAAAACATGACCTTGCACTTGGTGGAGAGCCTCTTGTTGGCAACAGTAGATGGTCAGCAGGTTTGCACACATCTCAGGGTTTGTGGTCTTCCACTCCCGAGTCTGCAGTCCTGATGTCCTGTCACAGCTCTCTGGTTGTTACTTCAGGAGTATCTGACTCATCGGTTCATTATGATGTAGCGCACAGCCTTTGTGTGGCTGGGTTGTAGGGGATCGCTACTTATTTTACTCAGTGACCTGCAAATGTGTATAATTCAATTCATATGTGATTTCTAACTTTTATGTAATGATTTTTTACATCACTGCGCATTTTTGTGACAACTGTTTCCACCAGTCTCATTCTAAGCCTTACTGTAGTTAAAAATGAGCACAGCTAGATAAGTGATGACAGGTCAGTTAGTAAAATGCTGATATTAGTTTGATTATTTCAATGGCAGCGAATCACAGACAGAAACAGCTCTGACCTTGGACTGTTTCTGGGAGTGTGACATCACGGAGACGGGCACAGCTGTAAATCTTACTGTTTGTTATCTACATGCAGACGTGGAGGTAGTGAGGCCGTACACTCCAGTGGAGCACATATTTCCAGCAGCTTCTAAGAACGGGTCACAGGAATCAGACCTCTACCTCATGATCAAAGTCTACCCTGGTGGAGCGTTCACCCCACACCTCAGCAGCCTGAGTGTCGGTGAGTCACATTCAGGGAGCAGCTCCCAGGGTGGGAACATGGATGAGGTCCAGTGACTTCTCTCTCTTAACCTGTAACAAACAAAAGTACAATGAAAAAACCAATGTGTGCTTTTCCACGTGCGGCACAATAACGCGACCAACTCGCCATCGAACAGTAAATAATGTTCTGAATTTTGATTTGATGAAGGTGTTTAATCTGTGGAAACTGTTGTAATAATGACGCGTTTACTCTTCTAGGTGACCGTGTGGCCGTAAGTGGTCCAGAAGGCACCTTCAGTCTCCGCCCTCTTCGTGATGTTACAAACCTCTACTTAATAGCTGCAGGCACAGGCTTCACGCCCATGGCTCGTCTCATCCGTGCGGCCCTCGAAGACATCGAAACCATCGGGTAGGAGCAAACTTTCAGAAGCAGCGCTCATAAGTGACACCTTTGTATTCAGTGCTGATCAGTAAGTCCATTCATTTATATAAATCAATGTACCAACAACAAGAGAAGCAAACAAACAACAAGAGAAGCAAACAAACAACAAGAGAAGGACACAAACAACAAGAGAAGGACACAAACAACAAGAGAAGGAAACAAACAACAAGAGAAGGACACAAACAACAAGAGAAGCAAACACACAACAAGAGAAGGACACAAACAACAAGAGAAGGACACAAACAACAAGAGAAGGAAACAAACAACAAGAGGAACAAACACACAACAAGAGGAACAAACACAACAAGAGAAGCAAACACACAACAAGAGAAGCAAACACACAACAAGAGAAGCAAACACACAACAAGAGAACAAACACACAACAAGAGGAACAAACACACAACAAGAGGAACAAACACACAACAAGAGGAGCAAACACACAACAAGAGAAGCAAACAAACAACAAGAGAAGCAAACAAACAACAAGAGAAGCAAACAAACAACAAGAGAAGGAAACAAACAACAAGAGAAGGAAACAAACAACAAGAGAAGCAAACAAACAACAAGAGAAGCAAACACACAACAAGAGAAAGAAGCAACAAGGGAAAGAAACACAACAAGAGAAGCAAACACACAACAAGAGAAGCAAACACACAACAAGAGAAGCAAACACACAACAAGAGAAGGAAACAACAAGAGGAAAAAACAAACAAACAAACAACAAGAGAAGGAAACAAACAACAAGAGGAACAAACACACAACAAGAGGAACAAACACACAACAAGAGGAACAAACACACAACAAGAGGAACAAACACACAACAAGAGAACAAACAAACAACAAGAGAAGCAAACAAACAACAAGAGAAGCAAACAAACAACAAGAGGAACAAACAAACAACAAGAGGAACAAACACACAACAAGAGGAGCAAACACACAACAAGAGAAGCAAACAAACAACAAGAGAAGCAAACAAACAACAAGAGGAACAAACACACAACAAGAGGAGCAAACACACAACAAGAGGAACAAACAAACAACAAGAGAAGCAAACAAACAACAAGAGGAACAAACACACAACAAGAGGAGCAAACACACAACAAGAGGAGCAAACAAACAACAAGAGAAGCAAACAAACAACAAGAGAAGCAAACAAACAACAAGAGAAGCAAACAAACAACAAGAGAAGCAAACAAACAACAAGAGAAGGACACAAACAACAAGAGAAGGACACAAACAACAAGAGAAGCAAACACACAACAAGAGAAGCAAACAAACAACAAGAGAAACAAACAACAAGAGAAAGAAGCAACAAGAGAAAGAAGCAACAAGGGAAAGAAACACACAACAAGGGAAAGAAACACACAACAAGAGAAGCAAACAAAGAACAAGAGAAGGAAACAACAAGAGGAAGAAACAAACAAACAAACAAAAAGAAGGAACAAACAAACAAACAAAAAAGATGACTTGCAAAGACCTTACATTCCTGCATTCATTCATTGCATCCTGTGGGTCAGATGTTTGCGTACTGGAGATATTTCCCGTCTTTGTTGTGATCAGTTTTGGGTTTTATTGCTCAAAAAAGTTACTTATTGGTCACTTTTCTTAAATGTAGTGCCGTACGTTACCTTCCAGGAATTTGTTTCACTACTTTTTACACCGTTTTTGCATTTTTCCAAAACGCACTGAAACACACTGTGTGATAATCACCATTTAAACACATAAAGCTACAGCCCCACACACCAACACTGATCTGTCCTAATGAGGACACACGTCATCTTTCTCTTAGTACTTAGGTGTGACCACGAAGCAAAGATGAAAGTGGTTGCCATGGTGATAGTACTGTAGAAACGGAGGCTGACTGCTCATCAGTGCTCATGTTAACTGTTGAAACTTAGAGTGTGTCTGCTGGGCCGCCTCACTCAGCTTTAACGTCGCTGGGTTTTTGGCTAGATTAGCATTAGCATGTTTGCAAAGCTCTAAAGTTGCGTTAGCAGCATGATGCAGCTGCTGTGGATGCAGTTTGCACTCCTTTTATAGAAATAAAAGTCATGTCCATCCACTCTGAAGACTGTGGCACTATGAAGTGCAAGGGGAACTGTGGGATGGATAGACAAGCAAACTAACAAGGAATTAGACTTCTGGGAACCGGTTCTTGATTCCCATCAATACTTCAGAGTGCTTGAAGGATCTGGTTAGCTGTGCAACAGCTTTAGTATCTCACACCCACTCACCATCTTTGATTTATTCTTACAAATCCAACAAGACAACAAATACGTTTGCACAAACCTGATCATTTTATGAAAACCAAAGTGTTTGGATGCAACATCTGTCTGTCATGTGTGGGTGGTTGATTATATTTTGTTTGAGGCTCTGACACTGTGTTCTTAGATGCTCTGTGTGCACTGTGACCTCTGGTGTTTTACCAGTGAACTCCCTGTGCTCTTGACACTAGTTTGAGAAAACAGTCGTAGTGTTTTTCAGTTGGCTGCTTGCTTCATAACCTACAACATGTTTGTGTGTCTCCAGAAACACAAAGCTGCTCTTTTTTAACCGACGAGAAGAGGACATTCTTTGGCGCTTTGAACTGGATGAACTGGCTGCTAATAACGGCAGGTATAGGAGCTGTGTGCCTGGGGAGGGCCTCACACTGTGGGTCGTGTTAACAACAAGCCTCTAAGGTGGTGCATGTGAACAAACGGCAGGGTGGAGTCATCGGTAGAAAGAACCCGAGCTCTAAGAAAGAAAAAGAAAATGCAGAGAAAGAGAGACGATGAGGAGAGGAGTAGTAACCAGTTTAGGCCAGTCCTGTTAAATGTAATTTAGATAGCTGGTTCAATATTTGTTTTAGCCTTTGGAGCTTCAATAAGCCGGTGTGTCAGAAAAATAACTCTTCTCAACTGAAGTGAATGGCTGTGGAGACATGTCTACATGTAAAATGGCTCTCGTGTCTCGTCTTCCGTTTGCTGTGTGTTAGGTTTCAGGTGGAGCATGTCCTCTCTGAGCCCAGTGAACGCTGGACCGGCCGGAAAGGTCCGGTGAACGAGCCCATCCTTACTGAGCTGCTGTCCAGGCCTGATGGGTCCAAATGCTACGTGTGTGTCTGTGGCCCTGCAGCCTTCACAGAGCTAACACTCGGGTAGGTAACACAACCGCACTGCTGCTCTGACAAAGTGTTTTATTTAAAAGCCATCCTCACGGAGATCTATGTTCTGTTCGACTGACTGCACTGTTTCACTTGGTGTGCAATCACAGCATTTAAGAGCGCCAATACAGTCATGTGATACGTCCTAGAAATATCATTGAAACAGGCAGCGAGCATGTTCACATAGACTCCGGCAAAGTCTCAGATTTTATATGATCATTAAATAATAAATGTGTTATAAATTCAAAGGCCAAACTGCCTCAGCTCCGCGCTCTATTGTTCTTTTTTTTCCAAGGACTTGATGTAATTAATGGCACATATTTTCCACCTGAAATCTTTGTAAAACATTCAGCTGCACGGGCCTAACAACACCACACTGAGAACATTTTCCATGTGTAGCGTGAACTGACTCAGCTTTGTGTTGACCTCCTTTCCTGTGTGCTCTTCTTGTAGGTTGTTGAAGCATCAGGGCTTCAGTGAGCAGGAGCTCCACGCCTTCCAGGGTTGACGTGAAGGGAACACTGTGTTTCTATGCATCGAGAACTTGATGATGCTGATACGTTTGAGGTGCTCTGAGGAACGTCATATAAATAAAGAGAAATATCACTGGTACTGTTTCAGATACAGTGGATCCAGAAAGTATTCATTCAGCATTTGTCATGATCCAGCCTTATTCCAAAATACATTCAATTTGTTTTTCACTTCAAAATTCTACACGTGACACACCATGATAGCAAACTGAAAAACATTTGCTATATATATATATGTTTTTCAGTTTGCTATCATGTGTACATGGCCTTAATGCCTACTCCAGCTCATTTAGCTTAAAGCTGCTCTTAACCTCGTCAGTGAGGTAACCTGCGCTCACTGGGCATATTTAATTGCTGCTCACCTGAATGCTTTGAGGAGTGAACAGCCAGTGACACCTCAGCCTGAGTCCAACCTGCTGATTTTTATAAACACACTGCACCTTCAGTTCTGCCTTGACAGAACCTCATCACCTGCCTCTAGTTTTTAATTCACTTTCATTTATAAAGTGTTAAAATCACAACAGCAATCCCTGCGAGGTGCTTTATATTGTAAGGTAAAGACCTGCAATAACACAGAGTTCACATTGCAGGATGTTATGCCACACAGCTACGAGAGTAGAAGGTTACTAACAATGAAATGTCCCAGGAGTATCTCTGCCTGCTAAAGAAAAGTGTTGCAACAGAAGGAGATTTTTCCAACTATCAAAAAGAAAACTCTAATGACCGCCACGTGCTTCCTAGCATGGTATGGTGGCACCACCGCCTGGTCACGGTGCCAGTAAAGCAGCCTTTTCCCGGGGCTTTAAAAACGTTGCTCAGGCTAAATTCAAAGGTTTGCTTTGATCATATCAAACTCATTGCTACATAATACAGGCCTCAGCAGTGCCGACCTGTGGCTGTAGCTCAGGTGGTAGAGCGGGTCACCTACTAACCAGAAGACATGATACTAATCCCAGGTTGCTCTTCAGCGCATCCATCGGGGTGTGAATGTTAGGTATCACTGGAAGCCTAGAAACGTGCTGGCGTGATTGGGTGAATGAACAAGTTGTATAAAGCGCTTTGAGTGCTCAGATTGGGTAGAAAAGCGCTATATTAGAACCAGTCCATTTACCTTTAGCTCCTCCCACAATAGTTGGTGCACATTGTTCCCATTGGGCTGCAGTATCTGGATCTTCGGTTTCAAAAGGTTCTAGCACTGAGCTACCAGGTGTTTCCTGGTTCTTTGCCCGTTCATAGTCATCACATTTATGCATATAACCTCTCTGAGTGGGTTCGCTGGCGTAGCCGTGTTACATCAGTTCCATGTTTCCTGTCCTTACCCGTGTAGGCAGCTTCTCATCTGTCCTGTTCTGGTTTCCCAACACCTGACCTTGTTAAGCTGGGTGACGTCTAAGCCAGTAGTTAGGCTTAGCTAGCATTTGGGGTCTAGCCCATGCTGCATGCATGTCTTGAATGGGTATAATACGGTCAGTGGATACAATTAGAAAACATCGTTTACATTACAGTTGGTAAACTTCATCAATACTTGGTCACCAAACATGACTTTATCAGTCAGGGACGCACATCCACTGTTACAGTCACGCCCAAAAGTACCCCAGCATGGCTCCTCTGCTCCTGCAGTGTGATAACACAACCCTCGAATTGTGCAACAAAGACATTCAGGCTGCAGACAGAACAACGTGATGTGCTATGTAGCTGCAACAAAAATGAATCCAGCAGATTCCATTAGTGTGCGAGCTACACCACAGCTCTGTGTTTGTGTCATATCAGTAATGCCAGCTCACAGTCTGGGTTCAGGGAAACTGCTCTCCTTTAACATAAGGCTTCAAACTTGCATTTTTTGTAAGGGCAGCCTGTAGCTTCAGCTGGAACAAACAATCTTGAACTTGTGGAAAAATAAATTGACACCAATCAGATTTTCTGAGGTCCATTAAAATAAATCCGGATCAATAAAGCCAGAGCAGGCTTCACACCTGCACTGATACTGAAAAGAATAACTAACATCTCCTCTACACATGTGTGGATACAAACACTGTGTTTGCAGCTGAATGCAAACGTTACAGTTAACAGTACATAGAGGTTAAACCAGGTGAAACATTTCTAATCTTGCATTATTTTAATTCATTCACAGCACAAAACTCGTGTGTAAAATGTATTAATAAGAGCGGTGGTGAATTAACATTGGCTGTTTTGTAGCAGATGGGCATCTCACTGCACACTGTAAAGACAAATGAAAGCATTTACACCGAGTGTGGTGCTCAGCTGCCCCGTATCGCAGACACAACCTGGAAACACATTATGCAGAAGGTTCATAACATCATCCTCCCATCCAGACCACAGTCTGTGCTCCCTGCTTCCCTCTGGGAAGAACGAGGTTCAGGAACCTCTGATCCAGAAACAACCAGCTCAGGAACACCGTCCTCACATTTTAAACCCTAAACACACACAAGCACACAAAAATAACATTGTGCAAATACTGTGAATCCATGTACATATTTACTCTGTAGGCTTCTCTTTCATTCATGTTCGTTACTCCGGACAATAATGTTATATCGTTTCCACTTCACATTAGATACCAAACTTTGTGTCATAGTTTGAGTATTGTGGTTTTCAGTGACAATAAAACAGTCTAATCCAAAGCCGTCTTAGTTTTGATTACTAATCTTCATAACCTTCCCGGGATTCAGGAGATCAGGTAGTTTATTCACGAGAGCTGTTATTGAGTTTAGGCTCTCGTTTGCTGTGCGACACACTAATAGGTCCCTCTGACAATCCGCTCTCTTAACACGACATCATGACATCATGTGTTAAGAGCAAACACTACATTAACACTACTGTCAGACTAATATTGTTTTCCATTGAACATTATTGTTGGGCTGCTGTAGGCAGCTGGGGTCAGCGTCACTACTGGTGCCATGAAGTAGTTCTGACGTTGCACAGACCATAGAGAACATTATGCTGCTCGTAACATCGTGCAGATGAACGGTTTGGTCTGAGGACTCCTCCAGAGGAAGGCACAGACCTCTGCAGGCTGAGCACCTGACTGCCATTACATATCGGGCCTGAGCCAACAATGCCTGGCCTCATGTGGCAGATTGCACTTCAGACTGCCCGGGAGCTCGCAATGACCATCGAGACGTGGGGGGGAAATGCCCCAGGACACTGTCGTCTCATTAGGAGCATGCCCTGATCCTGTCAAAGTCAAATTTATTTATGTAGCACATTTAAAACAGCGACTGTTGACCAAGGGGGTGTACATTTAAGGTAATCAAGAGATAAAAATATAGGAAGAAATGATAACATTTAAGAAAAAGAAGCATAAAAAGAGAAGATTTAAGTAAGAAATGAGACAAATAAAAGTCATACAAACTCTTTCTGATTTAAAAGCCAAGGAACAAAAGTGGGTTTAAAAAGAGTCCAATGTTGGGGAGGTCCTGATGTGAAGGAGCAGTTACAGCAAAGGCCTGATCTCCTCTGTGCTTTAATCTGGACCTCGGCACAGGAGCATTTGAGCCGTACCCCCAAGTGAGCTCTTTGGGGTGTACCAATTAAAAAGACCAGAAAGGTGTGAGGGTGCTAACCCGTGCAACGCCTTCAAAAACGAATAATAAAGCAACAAAGGATCCAGCAGGTGCATCGTTCCAATCCTGGGAAATGTAGGATGCATTTGTAGGCTGTATTTGGATGAACCTCTAAATTGGGACATCCTTCACTGCCTACAATACGAAGCTCAACGATGGCACATCCAGTGTCCAAACACAGTAGTCCAGTCAGGTAGAGACATCTAGCACGGTTTTTTGGGTGTTTTTCTAAACTGATGTTTAACACTATATTAAGAATGCCTTTGCAGTGTAATTGAGAGAATCCTTCTCTCATCTCACATGATTTTATGTTATTTATGTTAAATAACTTTTTCTCCCTCTTCTTTTTGAAGTCTTATGTTTACCAGTTTAAAACAGTGTTAATGAACACGGGGTCGGTCGGTCAGTTTAAAGCCAGCACATCCTTTATCACACAAATGCATTTCATCTGAGAGAGTCAGGCTCCAACACAAGAGATGCAAAATTATGAGAACCTAGAAGTTTGTAGATAACTGCTGGAACAAAGTTGAGAATTTGTGTTCGTGATCTGACGTATTTTCTCCAAAACAAAATATTCAGCAACTCATCCACAAAGTGGCAGCCAGGTGTCAGAGACGTCCCGAGATGCATAAAGTGTAAAAGCTGCCAGTGCTCCGCTGACACAATAACACAGACCTCTGAACTTCTGGCGACACAAAAACCTCCTGGTTGTAGCGCAGTAAGTGCCAGGAGCTTACAGGAGTTCATAGTAAAGGCTCCAGTATTTTTGTCAGTTATTAATTTCACCCCCTGCTTTAAGTTCACTTACATACAAAAGAAACGAACAGTCACAAATTTCATGGTAGTATCCAGAAAGAACAGAAAAAAACTTAAATAGATTTTCATGTCATGAGTGAAATAAATATTATATCACACCAAGCACAACATGACTTAACACTTGATGGAAAAACGATTCTTTCGAAGCACAGCAGTAACTGGTCACCAGGTTTGCACACATCTCAGGAAGGAGTTTGTTCCACCCTCTTTATAGAAACTCCTGTAGTTTTCTTGGCTGCTGCTAAACAACAAGAAAGTTCAGCTCCCTCCTGAGTACCGAGGCCTGGAGACTGGCTCGGCCGCTCCTTTGTTGCCTTGGCAGTATGTTGGCAATCACTGTCAAGTTGGAAGACCACGACAATCTTCAGTATTCTTGCTGGTCTTGTGCAGGTCCACAGCCTCGTTCCTGACATTTTTTGACAGCTCTTTGGTTTTTCCAATGGTCGTAGAGAAGCTGGAGCGGAAGAAACTGACTCTGAAGACAGGCGGCGTGCTTTAAACACAAGTTAAGATCAGTAGTGTCTGTAATTGACTGATTGTAATCTGTGTCCCACATGGGCGCACAGCTGCCACAGACTGTTGTACACCGTATTTCACTCAGTGACATCAGGTTTGACAGCATTCCTCGTCAGTGGCTTGAGCATGAATCGATGATTAATGTATTTGCTCGCTTGAAGATTTTATAGTAGACTTAAATATGGCTACTCGCTGCACTTTTCTGTACTTAACTGAAAGAGTGATCACAAGGAAAACGGCATGTACATGAAGTCTTCAGAACCAGGAGTTTCAAATTCTGATTCAATGACTCTGCTGCTATAGATATGTAAGAGTCTGACAAATGACTGTAACAAAAAACCTTTCTCACCGCTATGGGTTTAATTATATTGCCAACTCATGTAGGACCACCAAACTGTGCAAAGAATCCAAGAAGATGGAAAATCTGATAATGAAGACAAATTGGATCTATAAGTTGAATCTGGAGCTGATTTCTTATTACAAAGTCTGGCATGTAGTTGACCTGCAAAGGCACTGAAACAGAGGAAAGAGATGAAGAATTGAGACTCTGATGTGAGTCCCATCAAAAACACCTGCAGAGGATAACAACTGACGGGCATGTTGCGCAGCAGCCATGCTTGGGTGCAGGCTGCTAACCAAGCCGGCCAGTGTTAGCTGAGACTTGGCCTCCACCTCACACTGGGGCCATAAGGAGAACATTTACTGCAGAATATTTAAATATGTGTTCATATTGTGGTTGTGATTAAGTATATTACTTTTATCTGCAGGCCCTGCTGTCATATCTAGACATGTAAAACAGTCAAAAAACAAAATGATGTTCGAGAGGTTTCTTTATTTTACACGACTGTTTCCTCTGTGGAGGCAGGGATGGTAAGCCAGTCTCTGCAGGTCTTTGGTGCAATACTGATCCTAATAAACCATTAACATGAAAAATATAAAAATAGTTATTTAAATAACAAGTAAAAGCTTCTATTGCTGACACACTGGCATGGAATCAGTGCAGCATTCACAGTCTCAGCTTTCAAACGTTGTATTAACTCCTCTGTGGAATGGCGAGCTCAGGAGTCGGCAGAACCGCTCCCTGTCGTTGCAGATGTCTCAGGATGTCCAGGATGGCGTCGAGCTCAAGGCGGAAAGCATCCATCTCCCTGCTCTTGTCCTGAGCCAGACGTCTCCAGTGCTCCAGCTCAGACTGCAAATCATCACCTGGCGTCTGCCACGCCCCCCCAAGCACCTGAAGGACACAAACAAAAGACCTCAGGTTGTATTTGATACAGTAGAACTACTTCATCTGACCTCTATGTGGATAATATCATCAGGGGAAGTGCACAAGCTTCTCCACCAAACAGTGTATATGTTTGGCCACAGGTTCAGCAGTGTGTTTAACGCCGATGTCTGTGTGACTCGCAGACGGTTTCCCAGAGTCCAGGAGACGTTTAAAGTCATTTACAGCATAACATTCAGGTCAGCTTACGTTTTCGTACAAGTTTGCCACTAGTTCAAGTTAGTTTCATTTACGCTGACAATGTGGATCCAGACCTGCTTTTGTTTGAACGTGGTTAGTTCAGGGGATCACCCACCGTGGATGTCCAAGCCTGTGTTCAAAGTTTATCACAACTGCTGATTTAAAACACCTGAATCTTGACCTTAGGGGTCACTACAGGTTCACATCAGGTTCTGGGTTCCAGTTTCTGTCAGCTAGTTGGGCCCTCACTGGTACCTGCTGCAGCTCCTTCTCTCTGTGCTGGTGTCTGAGCTCCATGTTCAGTATCTTCCTCTCCAAGGTGCACAGGAGTTTCACCTCTGAGCTTGAAGCTTCTTTAGCTTCCTTCAGCTCCTGCAGCAGTTTGGTTAGCTAAACATGAGACAGAAGCAGCTAAATTAAATTAATTAATTCCAATTAATTATTGACACATTTAATGAATTGTTTAATGGTGTATTTCATTAATTCATTTTGGCAGTCCTGGCATTCCATAATTCAGAGTCTTTCTGTGTACAATCCTGGATAGAGCCAGCACAGCTCCTCACCTGCGTCTGCAGAGCATCCTCTCTCCTCCTGGATATTTTCAGTGCTTCTTTGCACCCCTGCGTTTCTTTCAGCTGCTTGTCCAGATGATTCATCATTATCTGCAGGTACATATGAATGTTAAAGCAGCAGGCTCATGTTGTACAGAGGCTGCTTGATGAGGGAGCCCTACCTCTTGAGTGCTCAGCTTATTAGTCAGTTCTGCAACCTTAGAGTCTGAGTGTTCGAGTGCATGGGTGGCCCGCAGGTGGTCCAACACTCTAAAGTGTTCTGCCTTCGTAGTGGATAGCTGCTCTTCAAACTCCTCTGTCAGCCTGGGAGATTAAATCATATCTTTAATTCAGGGGCAGCAGGTGATTGGCTGGGTTGTTGAAGAACATCCTGCTTCTTTGCAGGATGGGTCTCTATTTGCACTATGAAGCACTGTCCAATCAGCTTTGCCTGAATCTGAAGAGAGTGTAACTTTATATTCCTGAGAATTCATCAGCAGCACAAATGTTCCAATAGCAGCCACGCATCCCCAACGTGACATCCCCTTCACCGTTTTCCTGACAGATGATGTGATCTGTATCATCTCCACACACTGTTTGTTCTCGAGTATAACCAGTGGTTGGCACTTTGTTGTACACCTGTGTATTGACGTTGACAGTGATATTCCCCATCAGCCTTTTATGGCTCAGGGATAGAAATTCAACACTGTAAATGAACTTTGATATTCAGTCTGCTTCACTGCTTTAAGTATAACATTTCCTAAACAGCAAGTGCAAGTAGAAGCATTTGGAAACAAGCAGAAAGCACACAGAAGCAAAACTACAAAACTGTACCTGCACAGCTGCTGCTTGGCCTGTGCAGCATCAGCCTTCAGAGCTTCCTTCTCCTGCTCGCTCTGCAGGAGCACAAGCTCCACCTGCTTTTTTAAAGCTTCGTTCTCCTGCAGAACCTCAGAGATATGACTCCCTGTCAGAAGGAAACATGAAAAAAATCTTCTAGTGCCTCCAGCTAGCTGCATTTTTTAAATCTGGAAAACCACAGCCCTGCTTATAGACGCTTCTATATCCCTGCTGTTAGTGTTCACACTGGGATCGATGTGGGCATGTTCTTCTTCTGATGCAAGTCTAGAATATGTAAACAACACTTGTGTGTAAACCACTTTCAAGGATCGCTCGACAAATAACAGTCACACACACACACGCACACACACGCACACCATAAATTGCCCCCTTCACGCACTATGTACTTATACAGCACTCTGCATTGCATTATGAGTTGTTATTAATCTTTGGCTCTCTTCCACAGCACGACTTTAGTCTCGTCTCCCTGCTCTCGTCCCCGATGAGGCGAATCTTGTTGGGATTTGGAATTGAATAAATAAAATCAAAGTGAATTAAACAGTGTGACCACAAAATATTTTGATTGCATCAGGTGATCTTTAGTCCCTTTTGTGTATTACTTACTTTAAAAAAGTGCATTCCCACCTGTGAATACGGTGGGCTGATAGGTCTTCTCACACGGAGCAGCTGGGAATGTTTCTCCTCCTGCAGTGAGGAGACCTGGTTGTTGGTGTTTGCTCTCAGTGGATCGTCTTTCTGCTCGTGTGTTGGGGGCAGACGGCATGTTCCTCCGTTCCTTCTTCAGTTCCTGAATGGTCCGTGTCTTTTTAGCGAGCTCTTGATTCAGCCGCTCAAGCCGCACACCAAATGCTGCCTCGGCTTGGCGCTGGTGCCGGCCGGGACTCAGCAGGGCCTGTAAAACGAAGGGCTCTCCTCAGTATTGTATAATCGAGTACAAGTTTATTTTGTGTTATCAACTCCTCCATTATCCTACTTCATCCATTATTCCAAGGTTTCAGGGCAAAGGCTGCCTGCTCTAGCATCTGGAGGCAGCTAAGACAATAGCTCTTTGCTTTTAGTAAGACTTGTACTGACCTTCTGTTTAAGCTGCTGCTGGAGAGACTCGATCTGCTCATGCAGAGATTTCTCCTTCTGTTTGTGGCTCTGCTTCACACGGTACAGCTCTTCCTCCAGAGCCTGGACTACTGGTGACTGGGACCCAGCTGCTGCTTCAAGCTGCTGCTTACGCTGCAGCTGCTGCTCCAGCTCACAGATCTGCTGCTCATAGCGGAGCTGCAGAGCAGACACATAGTGGCATTCAACAAAAATCTGCTACACTGTTGCAGGTTGTTTGTTTTTAAGACTCAGTTTGTGAGCATGATTTAAAATGTATTTGATTTTATAATGTGTCTAATTTGATTAAATAACTGTGACAAGTCATATATAAAACAGTCCTTAATGAAGAGGAATTAATAATACAGGACCAAGCGCAGTACATCAGTGACTGCAAGCAAAGAAACAACAAATCAAAAGCAGCTACCGACCAAAGAACACTGTTACTGATCCCTGTGTGAAACAAGCCACATGTGCTTCACACTTTCTACTTTACGTATAAACAGTGAGTGATACACAAACCAGTTAACAGGTACAGCTGGAAACTGAGCCAGTCAGCAGCTGACAGGCTAGTGGGTGTGACTAAGCAGGCCGACGCCTACAGACTCAGATCCTCCACAGTAGAGAGGCTGCAGTCCTTTATGAAACAATGCTCTGAAAACACTAATGAATATGTCCATGTCCATGACAAGAGTCCAAACTGAAATAAAACCTTTCTGTCCGTCAGTTTTTCCACAGAAATCAAAATGGCCAGTGCTGTAAGTGACTCATAGTGCTGTCACACAGCTGCTGAGGGATTTTACTACAGTAAAACTGGAGTTGAATCAGAAAAATATTATAATGTATTCACTCTGCCTCATCTCTTGAGTTATCTGCTAATGGTGCTTCAACCCCTGGCTGCTCCACAGCACTGTGACTGAGCTTGTGGACAGGTGACTGAGACGAGCTGTGTAAAGAGCTTTAAGTGCTACGAGGCGCTACAAGAGGAACTGGTTCATGTGTTCCCTCATCTGATGTTTTTAATGATCATTTCATCATTAAATGATACAAACCACAGAAAATAATGGTTCTGACACAGACTTCTATAAAACACACGGAGTCTCTACTATAAGCAGACGTCTGAAACGTGATTCTTCACTGTGATGAATCAAACTACCGTAATTGTCGGGCTATAAGCCGCTACTTTTTGCACAAGCTTTGAACCCTGCGGCTTTTAGTCAGGTGCTTCTTTTCTATGGATTGTCCATGATTTTTGTGATATCGTAAGAGGATTTGTTTTGTTTGTTCTGCTGTTGTACGGCACTACGTTGCCTGGCGGAAGGATCGGGGTTCAAGAGTGGTATGTTGGTCACATGTCCGTCCGCCAGGCAACATAGTGCCGTACAAGTAGCGCGAAAAACAAACTTCAAAGTAGCACTACGCGTTCAGCGGGAGGCGTGGATGACCAGCGGCGATAAACTTGCGAAAAGCAAGTTATGCTCAACTCCACCGGTGGATTCTGACAGCGTGGAAAGTGTGAAAACATCCACGATCACCAGCGGATTTCGAAGGGCTGGACTGCTGCATGATGAAGAGGAGGACACCGCCACGGCCCTTCTGAGGGTGTTCGACTCTGACACTGACAACGAGGATTTCTTTGGTTTTGAAAGTGACAACGAAGGAGAGAAGCTGAGAGTGGATGACGAAGCCATCCTGAGCCTGTTCGTATCCGACATTGGAGAAGAGGACTTTGGTGGTTTCAGTGCGCAGGAAGAAGAGAAAGATGGTGAATGACTGACTTTTCTTCTTGTTAAAGCCGTGTCGCTGCACCTGAGCCTAAAAGGTAGGCCGGATCTATTTTTCTGGTGTGCTGTAGGTTACTGTTATGTACTACATTTGTTACTCATTTATGAAGCACAGCACATGTGCAAATATGTACCCATAACTTGTTTTTCAAAATATTAATAAAAGTGATGTCTCCAAACAGCCGTCTCTTTCCTGACAATTCGCTTTGTGCATATTCTCTTACATATGATGAGTCAAAATTGAAACACCTGCGGCTTTTAGTCAGGTGCGGCTAATGTATGTACAAAACAGGATTTTCCCCTGATTTTAGCTTGTGCGGCTAATATTCGGGTGCGCTTTGTAGTCCGGGAAATACGGTACTTCCACAGCAAGAACATTTAAAAGTGTTGGTTCAGCACAGACACACGTTTCCTCACTGATCTGCTGTAAGTCAGACATGTGAAGGAGAAAAATAAAGGTTTTACTGTTTAGTCTCACAGCTGTGCGGTTAAGAAGCTCATTGACTGACTGAAACTGAACTTATTATGTCACACGGCTTCCTCTTTGGGCTTCAGTTCTCTATGAAGCTTTTGTCTGTTTGTCGCTCTGCTTTGCTTTTCTAGCACACCAAGCAGGAGGAGACGTGGTGATCACAAAGTGTGGATTCAGTGACTTCTACTGATGACCAGCAAGAGACGGTGGCTGCCCTATTTCTTTGGTATTAAGATGTGATTAACATATTTTTTGTCATTTAAAAAGGACAAAACCCCACACTAGCAGACAGCTGTAAAAGGTATAAACACGCCCCCAGCAGCCGAGGCTGGATGCAGGGTCACCTGATCCAGCCCTGACTATACGCTTTATCAAAGTTTTAAGCCCAATCTTAAAAGCTGAGAGTGTTTGACCCCTGAACCCAAGCTGGAAGGGGGTGAACAGGTCGGTGGTGTGACGGGGGCTTTCTGTTTAGGGTCCTCTTCACAGTCACCCAGCTGTTACTTCCAGGCTGAGTGCTGGCAGGTCGTTACATCGACAAGCCTGTGGACTGATGTTAGCTGTACCTTGACTCTGTGAAACTGCTGCTCCATAACCTGGAGGCTGCGTTTGGCTTCCTCATCGTGATTCTCCAGCTCGGCCTCCAGACGTTGGATCCTTCGCTCCAGCAGAGCAGTGATCCGGCTGGAAGAGGACATTTTGCCAGCGTCCTCGTGGCTGGCAGATGTGGCTGCAGCATAAATCAAAGCAGGCAGCGAATTTGGGTTTCTGCTCCTGAGTATTTGTTCCAGCTCCTTCACCTGGTGAAAACACAAGTGATATGAAGTTGTAGAAGAAGGAAGGAGAAATGAATTGTTAGTGTATGCCCGTGTGCCAAACCTGTCGCTCCAAGTCCTTCATCCTCTTCGAGTCCACAAATTTGTCTCTCGCCTTTCTCTGCCAGCTGTTTCTTTTGCCCACTTCCTGTTTCAGTTTTTCTACCTGAAATGGAGACGGCCTGTTACTTCCCATCCTCATTCCTAAAGCTTTCACTGTTGTCACTGTAAAGCACCACAAAAGAACTCTCGCGGCCCGGTACCAAACGAGTCACGGACCGGTCCCCAACCCACGGACCCCGAGGCCCGGGGGTTGGGGACCGCTGCTCTAGAGCAATGTTTCCAGAGCCAGGAAAGATAGGCACGTTCCTCAAAATTAACACAATTTAAATCAATTTTAGTTTTAGTGGGGCGATCGTGGCTCAAGAGTTGGGAGTTCGCCTTGTAATCGGAAGGTTGCCGGTTCGAGCCCCGGCTCCGACAGTCTCGGTCGTTGTGTCCTTGGCCAAGACACTTCACCCGTTGCCTACTGGTGGTGGTCAGAGGCCCGGTGGCGCCAGTGTCCGGCAGCCTCGCCTCTGTCAGTGCGCCCCAGGGTGGCTGTGGCTACAATGTAGCTGCCATCACCAGTGTGTGAATGGGTGTGTGACTGGATATGTAAAGCGCTTTAGGGTCCTTAGGGACGAGTAAAGCGCTATACAAATACAGGCCATTTACCATTTTTTCAAATCAAAACAACAGTTTCCTTGAGGCACATTTTGCTGTAACATAAAGAACTGAATGTTAGACTGAAACCAACAATCACACAATTCCCTGTAGGAGGTGCTCTGTGACAGCAGGAAAAAAAAACGATGGTTTGTGGCAAAACCATCACAGCCTGGTCACATGGTCTGACTGGGAGAGTACAACCACCAGCCTGCCTTAAATGGGAATGATGAATTATTCAAGTTGTATATCTAAAAAAGGTACAACAACAACAAAGACAAATAAAGTTCTGATCAACAAAGGAAACCGTCTCTAAGACTAAACACTGACCTCATTAATTATAAATGGTGTGATTGAATGTTTTGTTTCTATTATAAGTCCTGTTTAAATTAGTTGTTTAGAGTATTTAATGAAAACTGTACCACACACATGCTAAAACAGACTCTTAGATGGCTCGACTACACCATCTATTTCAGGTACAAACACTGAGTCACACGTTAGAAGGTTATGTTACAGTCATTGAATTAGCCTGCTTTATGTCCTGGTGGGCGGGGCTATGACTCGCCACACCCACTATCAGATCGTTACATGGAGAAACCTTTTGAATAGAGATTGAAAATGTGACGTCATTTCCGTGGTAAAACTGCAAAGGATTCTGGGTAAGAGTGGCAAGCGGTACCAGTGTACGAAGCCGTTGTATTATTAACTGCAATAGCCGGTCGCATGACAGCCACGGGAAGCCGACGGGTAAAGAGATCGTTTTTATCGGATTACATCGTTGAAGAGAAATTGTTCGAGCCATGTTTCCGAAGTAACAAAGAGCCGACGGATGGCCTGGATTGCAGCCATTCAAAGACCAAATATAACGTCCCAGAACACTCACAGGTTAGTCTGCTCCAAGCATTTACACGAAGGTCAGTCTGCTGTTGTAGTTGTTGATGTAGGTTACAAATAAGTCTTAATTTGAATTGAATTCGTTGCTATGCTGCTTTGTTCACTGTGGCTTTGCGGGCTAATGTTTGTGTTTTGTAGGAAAACCAGCCTACAAAATGCAGGAATGTGATCCAGACTGGGCCCCTCTATCAGCCTGGGTCAGACCGAGTTTAAAGCTGCTACCACAGCCCGATTTGATCGGTTAAGAGAGAGAGCGAGATCGAAACGTCCCGCATATATGTGCCCAAGTGTTGTATTGAAGCAATCAATAGATGAATAACTTTTCCAGTATGTTGTTTTGAAATGGTTTTTTTTTGTTGCATTGTTGATTAGTTTTTCACCGAAGCAGCTAATAAAGCACGATGGATTTTTACAATTTTGCCTCTTTCCTGTAAGATTCTATAATAGAATGAAACAATAATGCCAGTTATAAATAAAAACAATAATTGAATGAATTACGAAACACTCATTTTATTTCTATTAGATCTGAAAATGTGTAACACTACAACCTGAAACAACAAATAGATGCGTTGGCCTGTAACAACAGCTGTGAGATGGAATCGTCCAAATCACCAAAGTAAACTGGAGCTGGGCTTGTTGCAGGATCTGAAGTTACTAAACATGTTGTGAGTGTGTGCACTCACACTTAGGACCATATAATAATAAATATGTGCGTGATGAAAGTTGTGCAGCATGCTAACGTCCTTACTCCACTCTGTATGCTCGTGTGGGTCTGACCCTTTCACTCCTTTGATTTTTTCCTCGTCCTTTTTTTGCCTCTTCGCCACGTCTGTCTTCGTACAGAGCTGCCGTGTTCACCGTCGTTTTGTACAGAACTGCAACTCGTAAACATAAAATGCAAGTAGGGATTAAAACTGCAGAATTAATGATTGCCGGTGCTGGAAATGCTTGATGCGCTTGATGCAGTGTTTTGATGTTGTTGCCACTCGTACCCACAATGCAATGCACGAAAGTCACGTGGTCTGTCAATCTCTACCTCTGTCAATTTCTATACAAAGTGTTCACGGACACCTTGGCTGCTGCCTCTAAACATATTGAGCGTTGTCGGTCGTGCATGCTGCTCATTAACATTCAGTATTTGTTAGTTACTGTTACAGGTTGCTGCTGTGGTCTGCCTACTGTGTTGTTCTCTTTTGGTTTCTTGACTTTTCTTCCAGCAGGTGATCCAGCTGACTTTTGTGGTCTTTTCCTTCTGTCCCTCTGATTTTCTTGAACTTCCCTTGTCTACGCCTTTCCCGTTCCTATCCCCCGGTCATGTCTGTTCTCATTGTAATAACTTAAAAGTAAAAATAAAGATCAATCAAGTGGACCAGTATGACAAAGCCGTAATGATCCACGTTGCCTGTTGGGCCTCTTTCTTGGCCTTCAGACGATAACGCTGATGCTACAGTGCCGAACGGCACAGGAAGAATAACTGAATTAAACTAACAACAATGACTTGCATGAGGGAAGTTCACTGAAGTCAGAGTATCATTTAAATATGTCTGTGAAGGTTCTCAGTCATCTAGGTCATTTTGACTCAAAATTGAGTCAAAGGACTCAATTTTGCCATTTCTCCGCAACAGTTGCCCACAGTGGACCTCATCTCAGCCACAGAAACCGCCATACGGATTAATACATTATCACAGACAGAAGCAGAGCAAATCAGGATGAAAGTCTCAGCCACCCTCTCCAGTGCCAAAGTCCCTCCATCCAACCTCACAATACAGGAAAAGAAGGCCGTTGCTTCCCTGAGCAAAGACCACAACATCACTGTTTTACCAGCTGATAAGGGAAGATGCACCGTGGTCCTAAACACTACAGATTACCATACAAAGATCACTACTCTCCTCAGTGACAACAATACCTACGAAGCCTTAAAGCGAGACCCCACAAGCAACTACAAAAAGAAAGTTATAGCTTGCCTTCAGGACCTTAAAAAGGACAAAATCATTGACCGCCTTAAATATCACCGCCTTTACCCAGGGGATGCCATACCCTGCATTTACGGACTTCCTAAGATCCACAAAGAAGCTCTCCACTCAGACCCATAGTCAGCAGCATAAACTCAGCCACTTACAACATTTCGAAACACCTTGCTACCATCCTTGCTCCTCTCGCGGGGAACACCCCACACCACATCAAGAACTCCACCGACTTCACCGACAAGGTCCAGAAACTTACCCTGGATCCAGATGAAACCATGGTGTCCTTTGATGTAGTCTTTCTCTTCACCTGCATACCCACCACGGAGGCCGTGGAGACTGTCAGAAAACGACTACAAGAAGACAGCTCCTTGGAGGACAGGACCAACTTCACACCCGATCAGATCTGCACACTGTTAGACCTCTGCCTCACCACTACATATTTCAAGTACAACGAAGGCTTCTACAGACAAAAACATGGCTGTGCCATGGGCTCCCCCGTGTCACCTATTGTAGCCAACCTTTACATGGAGGAAGTGGAAAGGAAGGCGCTTGGCTCTTTCAAAGTAAGAGCACCCAGCCACTGGTACAGATATGTAGACGACACCTGGGTCAAAATCAAGACACAAGAAGTGGAATCCTTCACTGCGCACATTAACGCTGTGGATAAAAACATCAAGTTCACCAGGGAAGACAAAAAGGACGACTGTCTGCCTTTCCTGGACTGCGCTGTGCACATTGAAGAGAACGGCAAACTCAACATCGAAGTTTACCGGAAGCCCACACACACAGACCAGTACCTCCTCTTTGACTCCCATCACCCTCTGGAACACAAACTTGGAGTAATCAGGACCCTACACCACCGGGCAGGACATGTTCCCTCTAAGCCTGAAGGGAAAAAGAAGGAACACACACATCAGAAAGGGTTTTATTGCCAAATGTTGAGCGGGTTTACAACATTAGGAAATTGCTGCGGTGCTTCAGTGCAAACATACTGTTATAAATTACGCTTAAATAGACATGAAAATAAAAATAAAAATAAGAATTAAAAGTGTTAAGTAGATAGATATATACATGATATATATATATATGAGTGCAGGTGGTGATCAGTGCAAACATGGAATGATGCAGTGAACACAGCGTAGGGTCATGTGTTAGTGGTGGGAACAGTCATACGGTTATTGTTCATGTGTCCGACAGCAGAGGGGAAGAAACTGTTCTTATGGCGAGAGGTTCTGGTGCGAATGGACCGGAGCCTCCTGCCTGAGGGGAGCAGGTCAAACAGACTGTGTCCAGGGTGAGAAGGGTCAGCTGTGACTGAGCTGCACGCCGCAGTGTCCTGGAGGTGTACAGGTCCTGCAGAGATGGGAGTCTGCAGCCAATCACCTTCTCAGCAGAGCGCACAACACGCTGCAGTCTCTGTTTGTCCCTGATAGTGGCTCCAGCGTACCACACGGTGATGGAGGAGGTGAGGATGGACTCGATGATTGCAGTGTAGAACTGCATCATCGTCCGTGTTGGCAGGTTGAATTTCTTCAGCTGCCTCAGGAAGTACATCCTCTGCTGGGCTTTCTTGATGACGGAGGTGATGGTGGGCTCCCACTTCAGGTCCTGGGTGATGGTGGTACCCAGGAAGCGGAATGAGTCCACAGAGGTGATGGGGGTGTCAGTCAGGATGATGGGGGGGAGTGGGGCTGTGTGCTTCCTGAAGTCCACAATAATCTCCACTGTCTTCTGGGCATTCAGCACCAGGTTGTTGTGGCTGCACCAGGACACCAGACGTTCAACCTCCCTCCTGTAGGCAGACTCATCCCCGTCAGAGATGAGCCCAATAACGGTGGTGTCATCTGCAAATTTAATTAGCTTGACAGACTGGTGGGTGGAGGTGCAGCAGTTGGTGTACAGGGAGAAGAGCAGAGGAGAAAGAACACAGCCCTGAGGGGAGCCGGTGCTGATGGTCTGGGAGTCTGAGGCATTCTTCCCCAGCCTCACGTGCTGCTTCCTGTCCGTCAGGAAGTCAGTGATCCACCGGCAGATGGGATCGGGCACATTCATCTGGGAAAGCTTGCCTCGGAGATGGTCTGGAAGGATGGTGTTGAAGGCAGAGCTGAAGTCCACAAACAGGATCCTGGCGTAGGTTCCTGGGGAGTCCAGATGCTGCAGGATGAAGTGTAGGGCCATGTTGATGGCGTCGTCTACAGACCTGTTGGCTCTGTATGCAAACTGCAGGGGGTCCAGGAGGGGGGCCGTGAGGGTCCTGAGATGGGAGAGAACCAGGCGCTCGAAAGACTTCATGACCACAGATGTCAGAGCCACGGGTCTGTAGTCATTTAGTCCAGTGATCCTAGGTTTCTTGGGGACAGGGATTATGGTGGAGGACTTGAAGCAGGCAGGCACATGACATGCCTGCAGTGAGGAGTTGAAAATGCCAGAAAACACTGGGGCCAGCTCGTTTGCACAGTGTCTGAGGGTGGCAGGAGACACGCTGTCTGGGCCGGGAGCTTTCCGAGCATTCAGGTTCTTAAACTGCTTCCTCACATCTGCTTCATGAATATGAAGAGTTGTGGTGGGAGGAGGTGGTGTGAAATCCTCTTTTGTGTGGGGTGAGGAGGGGGGTGTTGTAGGTGAAGTGTTTGATGGTGGTGATGGCTCTATGTAGGGGGGAGAGGTGGGGGAATTAGTGTCCAAAGTGCCTCTATTGTTGGGGTCGTTGGAGGTGTGAAGGCTGCCTGATGGCTCGTCTAAACGACAGTAGAAGTGTAAAGGAAGCACTCAAAACGAATTATCCTAATTGGGCTTTTATAAAGTCAGCAAAGAGGCACAGAAAAGAAGACCAGACACCAGCGAGGGAGGATAAGAAGGACAGACGCAACAACATTGTCATCCCCTATGTAGCCGGTGTATCAGAGAAACTCAGGAGAGTTTTCTCCAAGCATGACATCCCGGTGCATTTCAGACCCAGCAACACGCTCAGACAAAAACTGGTTCACCCGAAAGACAAAACTCCAAAACACAAACTTAACAATGTGGTGTTTGCTGTACAGTGCAGCGAGGAATGCCCAGACCTCTACATTGGAGAGACCAAACAGCCACTTCACAAGCGCATGGCACAACACAGAAGAGCCACCTCCACAGGACAAGACTCAGCAGTCCATCTGCATCTTAAGGATAAAGGTCACTCTTTCGAGGATGCCAATGTTCACATTTTGGGCAGAGAGGACAGATGGTTTGAAAGAGGAGTGAAAGAAGCATCTATGTCCACTGTGAGCGACCATCTTTGAACAGAGGCGGGGTTTACGACACCAACTCTCTGCCATCTATAATCCAGTTTTGAGATCCTCCCCAGACGCCTTAACGCCCACTCACATCCTGGGCCATCTGACCTCAGGAAATCGCATGATAAGGTGGGGCCAGGTTTCACAATGAACTCACCCGAAACTCTGGCTGATTGGGACCCACACCCAGTTTCACACCTTGGATTAGGTAGATGATCATCAGGGGTCCTTTTGTCCCTCTGTGGGGGGAAACTCCCACTAGGTTTAAATCTGGGACTCTCCACCATTTGACCTTAGAACTGAAGAAGCTTCTTGGATGAGAGGTGAAACGTCTTCAAGCAACTCAAAGAAGTCCAGACGCTTTTCTTTGCAAGTATCATTTAAAATAAAAAGTAGTTAGCACAGACAGAGGATTCATGCAGATTGAGGGTACAAAACAAATCAGTCTGTAACCATCGTGTGAGAGCGGAGCATCACCTGTTCTCTGAGCTGGTGTATCTCAGCTGTAGCAGCCTTCAGCCTGCCAGCATCTCTGTCCAGCATCTCCTGCTTCTCAGCAAACCACTGCAGTTTTTTCTTAAGGGCTGTCACTTCCTCCTGGTGCCTGTCCTCTAATACACGCATCTCAAAGGTCTGATTTCCTAACACGTTCAGGAGAAACGCACTCAGTTCTTACTCACATATACACAGCAGGTACAATAAGTATTGAACATGTCACCAGTTTCCTAAGTAAGTATATTTCTAAAGGTGCTACTGACATGAAAGCTTCACCAGCTTAATTCCCACATTACAAGAAATCAAACATAAATGTCCACAGATTAAGTTGTGTGTAAGAATGAGGAGTGACACAGACAAGTACTTAGAAAGCAATCCTGCCTTTTTATAGGCCAGATGGGACCATCAAGAAACATCTCATGATGGGTAAAAACAAATAATCTAGCTCAAGACCGTCACAGTCCTATTGTTGTAAAACATCCTGATTGGTTACAGAAGAATTTCTAAAATCCTGAAGGTTCCAGTGGCCAGCGCCCGGTCATGGCCGGTTCTCCCCACAGAGCAGTGAACAGAATTATCGCAGAGCCAGGGGCCACTTGTGGAGAGCTACAGAAAGACCAGGAATCCTGCAATTGTTTCAAACAACACAATGAAAACACGGCCTGTATGCACAATACTGTTCATTACTGAAGAAAAAGCAAAATGAAACATTTAAATTTTGCTGAAAAACAATCAAACAAGCCTTTGAAATACTGGGCGAACATAGTCTGGTCAGATGAGACCATAGTTCCACTCGTTGCATGCATAATAAACACCATACCAACAGGTATGCACCACCAAGGCCTGGGTGTTTCAGCATGTGACACTGGCACACTTCAGGATGAAGGGAAAAATGTGCCGAGACATTCCTGATAGCGAAGAAATGACAGTAGATGTACAGAAAGGAAACTACTGACTGGCTTCAGAGAAAGAAAGAAAGTGTCTCGCCCAGCCAGTCACCTGACCCATATCCAGGTTAAAGTCAGTGGAAAGAACTAAAGGTCAGAGGTCATAGAAAGGGCCCGCGCAGCACTTTCAAGTTTTGAAGACTGTTTGCGTGGAAGTTTGGGCCAAAATCCCGCCCGAGCACACCTGGGAATACTTTCTCCACACAGGAGACGTCGTGAAGCCGTCGCCTCCAACAACGGCTTTTTGTGCGAACAGTTAAGTAAACATCAGTCAGCACGTTCAGTACTACTGACATCTATGTGTGGATTAGATGTTACCCACATCTGGTGACAACTTCACTTTGAATCATACATTTAATGACATATTTGTCAGTTTGATACTTTTTGGGGTTTTATAAACAAATCACCAGTAGCAGCTGGTTACACATCTTTTCAGTGTTGCAGTAATCCTGACAGCATTTGATGCTTTTCTTTGTCACACAACATTAAAGTGAGTCTCTTTGGTCAAACACAACATTTGAAGCTGCCACTTTGATTTATGGGTTTCTGCTAAGGTGGCACATTTTTAAACTGGCAGAGTTTTGCATATTTCTACATGTTTTGAAGGCAAAACGAAGCTCCAAACTTGGGCTTGTCATTATCCTATTATAGCATTTTGGAATTGGGTTTGTATATGAAGTGAAAAGGGGATGAAAAATATGAATATTGTAGTTTCAGGACTGTTCTTTATCTTACCCGATGTGGAGGTGGCTCGGGCTTCAGCCAGGTCTCTCTCTTTCTTAATGAGCTGCAAGTCCACCTCCAGAGCCTGCTTTTCCTGCTTAAGCTTGTGGACGTCCTCAGACATCTTGGCCTCATTTCTCTGCACAAAGATTCACATCTGTGCTACATCAAAGAGGCTAACATAGCCCTTCAAGCCTTACAGTACAGGTGGATGAGAGCGGTACTAACCTGAAGTGAGTTTATTTGCGCTAACAAGTCTGCAGTGCGTGGAGTATGATCCGTTAAGCATATACTTCCCACTGGCCTCGAAGTTTTATGCAGCTGCTCCCTGGTGAGGTTAGAAAAGGTTTACCCTAACCACAGAACAACCACTCCACAGCTAGAGGACTTTATGATCTCTATTTGTTAACGACCTACTTCACAAACTTTGAATAAAGTTAGCGCTGCTGTCCCTGAACACGAGTGACTCTCCGGTTTGGCCTATGAGTTGAATACCTTCCATAGCCCAAACACGTGCTGTTAGCTTCACTGTTAGCTTCACTGTTAGGTGCTTAAATGCACAGAATGAAGCGATGCATGAACATGTGTATGACTCGCAGTGTTCCAAGTGGTCAGTCTTTCACAGTGCACATAAACACACATATATGGGTACAACAACATGTGTGTGGGACGTACAGGTCTGTCAGACGCTCACCTGGTGGCAGCCAGCTCATTCAGCAGCCGCTGGTTTTCTTTAAACATGGCCTCCTCATTAGCTTTAGTCTTGGCCTGCTGAGCCTTCATCTGTAAATACAGCTTCTCATTCTCCTGGAGGAAGATTAATGTAAAAAAACTATGAAAAGAACAACTAGGTACAAATGGCTCTTGTTTTTTAAAACCGTTGCTCACACCTAATATGGGCTTTTCTATTTACTGCAGTTTGTATAAAACTGAAAATGATTAGAATTTCATAAACTGTGCCCACACGGCGTCTTAACATAGAGCTTCTGAGGCAAAGCACTGCTACGAGTGGAGAGCACTTCTAAAAAGTTGTTTTAAGCAGATGGCAGAAAGTTTAGTGCTTGGGGAAAATGAGTCCCTCTCATTAAAGACACACTCTCATCTCCCAAACCTATGCAAACTAAAGCAGGGGTCCCCAATCCCAGACCTCGAGGGCCGGTGTCCTGCAGGTTTTAGATCTCACCCTGGGTCAGCACACCTGAATCACATGATTAGTTCATTACCAGGCCTCTGGAGAACTACAGGACATGTTGGTCGTGTCCAAATTCATGGGCTGCATCCTCCTGAGGACCCAGCCTTCACGGTCTATGTGGACCGGGTCCTCAGAAGGTCGGGTAGGCCGGAAGTAAACGGCCGTGAAATTGGACGGTCTAGCCTTCTGATTAGCGTCGCCGCTGTCTCGGTGGAGTTTAATAAACTCGGCCGTCTGCTCCTTGCTATCTAAAATATAACAGGACACTGGCGTAAACTCTCGACCATCTCATACTTCTGTTTAATCAGTTTTCTGTTTGACGTTTAGTCAGCTGTGTGAAAACCAAGGGGGATTAATAACGTTTTATCTAATCTAATCTAATAACTTTAATCTCAGCCAAACCGATTTACTCACGAACAAACAAAACACTGAAAAAAGCCCAACAATAACATTTTTAGGTTGTCTAAGTGACTTGACTTATATATTACGTTTAACCCGAGCAGCGAAAGTCCGCGGTGATCTGAAAATGATGTGCCGGGAGTTGTGCCGTTCTCGGCCGCATCAGTAACCCTCGAGCTCCCGGCTAGCTGTCGAGCTGGTGGGTAGCAGACGTCTCCGAAAACGTCGAAGCACTTTTGCAAATATGCGATATCTTGATAAACCGAGCAGATATTTGATGTTTACACAACTACTTTCTCGCCTGAAAATATGTTAAAAGTTTATTTTGTGACCCAGAAAGATTAGTATGAGTAATTTTAAAACTTAGTAGCGGCCGCCATTGTTGGAAACTGGAGTTTGGCTGGGCCGCGCTATGAGTTCTGGGATATGGTAGGCCACGAAGGACACACCCGACCCATCCTTCAAATTCGGGGAAAAGGAGGACGCATTTGTCGGCTGCATTCGGAGGAGTCTACGAATTTGGACAGCCTTCGGCGCGTCGCTGTGACGTAATCGGTCTACAAATGCGGCCTCAGGAGGATGCAGCCCATGAATTTGGACACGACCGTTGAGGAGGTAACTTATCCATTTAAATCAGCTGTGATGGATCAAGGACACATCTAAAGTAGATGTAGAGTAGCGAAAGTCTGCAGTGATCTGAAAATGATGTGTCGGGACTTTGCCATTCTCGGCGGCTCTAGTGACCCTTGACCTCCCGGCTAGCTATCGAGCTAGTGGGTAACAGACGTCTCCGAAAACGTCGGAGCGCTTTTGAAAGTATGCGGTGTCTTGATAAACTGAGCAGATATTTGAGGTTTACACAGCTACATTCTCCATGAAAATATGTTAAACGTTTATTTTGTGACCAGAAAGAATAATAAGAGTAACATTAGAACTAACTAGCGGCCGCCATTGTTGGAAACTGAGCTGGGCTGCGCTATGAATTCTGGGACACTGCTTCTTCTTCAGGGTTTAACGGCAGCTGGCATCCTTGTACATGCAGTGCTGCCATCTTCTGTTTCAGTTCGTTATTACACTCTTAAATCCTGCTACTTATTCCTGCGTCTTTTGGGATCTTACAAAGCTTCAAACGACGCGTCGACTATTAAATCAGTCGTCGACGATTTTGATAGTCGACTAATCGTGGCAGCCCTAGTATGTAGTGTCATAAATTTGCATCCATTCAGTTGATGATGTAGCAAATGTATAAAATTACTTACACTGCTGGGATTACAGCTGACAGGACACAAATTAGAAAACAGTCTATTTGTTTTAGAAACAAGTCCTAATAAAAGTCCTTAAAAAGTCGAAATAACACTGAAATCATTGAGAGAAAAACGTTGTGACAAAAGTCACAATAAGATGTAGAGTTCAGGGTCACTAACCTGTTGGTAACCTTTTATGAGTGCCTCCTGCTCTTTTATTTCTTTATCAATCTGCTGGAACTTCTCATCTGCAGCAACATCTGCAGCCTCCACCCACCTCTTCTTCTGACTGGCTTCTTCTGCACTTCTCAGCTGTTGAGAGAAAAAAGTCTTACCCTGGCAGTACCCAAATAAGAATGGGCCATCCTACAGATTTCCCATATATATGGAATGAAAGTAGTGATGTGTTTGTGCACCTTGCTTTGCAGTAGGTAATTCTGCTGTCTGAGTGAGCTGAGCTCCTCTGCTCCTGCCTTCATCATCTGCAGCTCCCTCTCCTTCTGTGCCAGCTGCGTCCTCAGCTCCTCCAGCACGGAGCTGTCGTGGCCAGTCTGAAAGGCAACAAACCAAAGTCACGTCTCTCTTTCAGCAAGAATCAGTGTGCACAGGAGCTGCAGCATGTTTTTGCTTTTCTCCTATTGAACACACATTTTGGCAGTATGTTTGTGTTGTGACACTCTAAATGTAGTTTTAGGTAAAACAACACTGTCCTTGTAAAAGGTGAAAAACACTATGGATGAACGTGTGAAATCCTTTAAGCAGAGGCTGTGGCACTTTAGCTCTGCAGCTCAGTCACTCCCTGGATGGCTCTCAGTTTGCTAAAGTGATGTGCAAACAACAAAGGCTCTAACTTTACTCACATCTTTCCATTTTAAATATTTTATGTTTTAGCACCCAGAGCTGTACCAATGACCAGCTACTACGCATACTCAGGTTTTATCTAGGAGCTGTAAGCTTTAGGCTCTGCTTTGGTAACCAGCAGCAGATTTTAGGCACACAGACTTCATCCCACAAAGAGCTGGGCCTAACACTGTAAAACATGGCAAAAGGAGACCTCTGGAAGTTCAGCTCAATCTCAATGCCAGACACCAACACAGACATCGAACAGGCTGGAGAGAGGACACATCCCTTCCATCTCCAATACCCTAAATGTCAAAGGAGCTTGCAAAGAAAAGCATCTGGACTTCTTTAAGTTGCTTGAAGACGTTTCACCTCTCATCCAAGAAGCTTCTTCAGTTCTAAGGTCAAATGGTGGAGAGTCCCAGATATAAACCTAGTGGGAGTTTCCCCCCACAGAGGGACAAAAGGACCCCCTGATGATCCTCTAATCGCCTGAGCCAAGGTGTGAAACTGGGCGTGGGTCCCAATCAGCCAGAGTTGCGTGTGTGTTCATTGTGAAACCTGGCCCCACCTTATCATGCGAATTCCTGAGGTCAGATGGCCCAGGATGTGAGTGGGCGTTAAGGCAGGGAAGGGAACTCAAAACTGGATTATAGATGGCAGAGAGTTGGTGTCGTAAACCCCGCCTCTGTTCAAAGATGGTCGCTCACAGTGGACATAGATGCTTCTTTCACTCCTCTTTCAAACCATCTGTCCTCTCTGTCCAAAATGTGAACATTGGCATCCTCGAAAGAGTGTCCTTTACTACTGTAACTTGGCTTCAGATAAGTAATAGAAAATAAATGGATTCATGTTCGCTGTATGATGTTGTTCAAGAAAAGCAGAGGTCATGGTTACTGCTGACACGCTTAGTATTAGAAGTTGAGATGGAAGTAAGCATGAGGGTGTTTGGTAATCCAATGCCACGTTCTAGATGCAGCCGGAAATTTAAATTTCCAAGTTCCAGTCAGAATATCATCTGGAATGTTCCCTCAAATCAATTAACTAATATCCCAGAAATGAAAACTGCACTGACACTGTTGTGTATTCAAGACTCACTAAATAAGCAGTGCGCAGCACACAGACCAGGCTCTATCCATCAATGTGCTGCAGGAGTGTTTCTCAGCACAAAACAACAAAAGTGTTACGGCAGAGGTTCCCAAAGTGGGGGACGCAGAGCCATTGCAAGGGGAGTATGAATGAAAAACGTGTGGACCCTGCTGGCATAACGGACAGGTTTTTGAAGGGCTCCCACACAAATGCAAAGCAGAGGATGAAGCATCTCCAAATATGTTTCCAAACCAACTTCCTTCCAAGTCAAAGAACAGATGATCATATCTTGCCTTTGGCTTCACCTGCACAAGTGCAAAGGTAGGTCTCCCTGCAGGATTAGTTTCCCCTGCGTCAGGAGCAGCGCTGGGCTGTTTAAATCACGGACACGGACGAATGTATTGACAGCAATGCTGAATATTATTACACAGGAAAAAACAACTACACAAAATAGACCATGACACCTTTCTAAATGGAGGGACAGTAACTGTGTGTAAGTGTGAACACAGGAACCACTGTGTTATGGTGTAATGTTAATGATGCATTAATGAATCTACTTTGCTAAGATACAAAACAAGCCCTGTTTTCCTCTTTTCCAGCTTCATCACTGGAATGTGAGTGATGAAGTAAGTGAAGTCACTGCAGAGTTCAAACAAGCTTAACCAAACACAGCACAACAGCTGTCGTAATCTTCCTGAAGTTATACAGGTTATTACCAACCACACAGAGTAAAAAGAACAATGTGAAAAGATGCTGGTGGTCAGGAAAACCTGCACACACAGTATTTCCTTACACGGATCTGTGGAAGATGTTGCTCCAGCCTGGTTTCTCTGACTTCCTGTGCAGAATCCTGGTGTTTGGTAGCATCTATTTGCTGCTGGAGGACAGCCACTAAGGACTGAACAGATGCCACTAGTTCATTCCTCACTGTTACTCCTGGTTCTACCAGTGAAAACACACAGAAAGGGATTCAAAGAAGTGCTAACAAGTCAAGACATTACAAGGTAAACTGACAGAATTGATGCTGGTTGATAAAAAATGAAGTTAAGCAGTTATCCAATGATCGATCAATGAGTTTCTAACAGTGTGGAAAGCACACGATTCTTTCCTACATTATTTAAGCCTCTGATGACTTGATGTGTGCAGTTAATAACCTGTGCAGTCCCAGCAGTCTTCATGGTTCGCTCTGTGTGGACACTGTGAGGAAACAGCAGACCGGGTTTTGGCTGGTGTAGCAGAACCTCTACTTATCCCCGATGACCTTGAAGTCACCGCCGTTCTCCCATCCAGGCGCTTGCCTCTTACAGGAGCTGGAGTGGCTTGTCTCATTGAAGAGGTACAGGAAGGAGAAGTAAGGGAGCCACGGGAGGCCTGAGAAAAACGTATAATGCAAAGTGTGAATGTAATCTCTTTTCTACAGTAGTGCCTTTTATATAGTTTGCTCACCGGGTGTTTCTTAGTTTTGCCAGTGTGAGATGATGTGAGAGAAGAGCTTTTGGTATGATCCTGCATCAGCTTGTCTACTTCTGCTCTGATGCTGCAAATCAGATCCTTGTTGGGGGGGTGAGCAGCACTGATTGGGTGGCTTGTCGACTCCTCGGCCCCATTTATTGCTGCAGCTGCAGGGTGCTGTGCCTCATCCGGGAATGCCCTTTCCAGTCCCCTGGAAGTCTTTTCTTGGTTGGGCTCCACAACACTGCAAAGTGACAACCACAGTAAAAAAGAAACAAAATATTTTGTGTATTGTAACTTTACAGTTACTACTGTAACTATTTTTTCAGAAGAGTGGCAGTGATGTCACGATGGTGAGTTCTTCTAAATACAGACAGACGGTGGATAATACATTTTTTCTCTCATATTCATCTACATAAATGAGTACACATTAGTGCAGAAGACTGTGGACGGACGGACGGGTGGACAGGCTTCAGCATGAGTCGTCACATCTGCCCGAGTTTCATTGATAGGTAACACATTTAGCTCACCTGTCACATTTGCCTTTGCTGTGTAAACTACATACTTTTATTTTCTTGGAGGGTGCAGATGGTTTCCTAATTATTACAATCCATTTCATAATCATTGACACTCTGAGTCCAGACCTTTTACCAACTGAAAACATTTGATTCATCATGAAAAATAAATAAGAGTCAGGAATGATGAGCAGCTGGACAAGAATGGGACAACAATGCTCTCCAACATGTCCAGCAGCTGGTTTCCTACTTCCAGATGTTTCAGGACTGTTGTAAGAAGAGGGGCTGGTACACATGGCCCAGTGTTTTTGAGATGTGCTGCTATCATTAAATACAACAGATTTTTTTTTTTTATTGTACATTTTATAAATATCGGATATATTTTCTTTGTTTTGCTGGGAACAAATAGGGGCTTCAACATATTTGCAAATCAATGCAAAGCGCTTTAATTAACATTCTGCACAGCCTCCCTGAATTTTAGAACTGATGATCACAGAAGTGATCCCTGTGTGTTGGCCCTGCGACAGACTGGCGACCTGTCCAGGGTGGACCCCGCCTCTCGCCCTATGACAGCTGGGATAGGCTCCAGCGCCCCCCGCGACCCTGAAAAGGATAAGTGGAAGCGAATGGATGGATGGATGATCACAGAAGTTGTCATGCTCTCCATAACGATCGATGCTTTCATTACTGTTTGTTTCACTGTTTTTGTTTGCGAGTTTATTCTTTGCTTCACTTCTTGTTTTATTGCTAGCAGAGTTCCTCCAGTTGATCATCCCAACCCACGGATGAACTGCTGTCCACGGCATACCAAGAACTCTTGTTTATAATAATAATAATAATAATAATAATAATGGATTACATTTATATAGCACTTTTCGAGACCCTCAAAGCACTTTACAATGCCACTATTCATTCACTCTCACATTCACACACTGGTGGAGGCAGCTACAGTTGTAGCCACAGCTGCCCTGGGGCAGACTGACAGAGGCAAGGCTGCCAGATCGCGCTACCAACACCAGTAGGCGGTAGGGTAAAGTGTCTTGCCCAAGGACACAACGACCGAGACTGTCCGAGCCGGGGCTCGAACCAGCAACCCTCCGATTACAAGACAAAATGCCAACTCTTGAGCCGCGATCGCTCCTTAACATAGTTAAGACAGATTGTGACGTCAGATTTAAGCTTGTCTGTTGGCTGACGTTTGAATATTTACAGTGAGTCCCTTCAAATGTTACTTGAACACTGTATTTGTGCCACAAACACTGAGATACTGATGAACTGGGAGGAAAACAAGCTGGCTGCTTGCTGAGAATCCATCGACTGCGTAGTCCTGACCTGACAGGCTGGAGGGTGAAGCCTCTAATTTGAGCTGCCTCTGGTCGGAGGAGCCTCATCAGCTCTTCTGCAGTGGGCAGCTCTAAATACACACAAAGACAAAAGAATTTCTTAGCATCATTAACGATCCTGCCCATCACAAATACTTTTGCACAAGTAGGATGCATCTTATTTATAGGGCTAACACACATGAAGTGACATGATGTGACACAGAAGTGGAGCCCAGGTGTGACAAATGTGAAATGAAGACCTTTCTCTCAAGTCTTTGAAATCTGTGGACAAAGAAAATAATCAAAAAATTTTGATGCTTTTTCCAAAACTGTCAAATGACATTGAGGGTTCATCCATGTTGCAAATTTTCTCATTTGTAGTGTCAGAAAGAGCCGTTAGGGTACGCTCACTGAGCAACCACAGACCTGGGGTTTATACACTGTATACTCAGACCGACAAAGACTTAAAGTAGAATAATTTCTGACCTGACTCACTGGTAGAAACAGGCTGCAGAGACTGTTGGGCACGTTGAGGAGGAGAGGAAGGAGACAGAGGTCTGTTGATGCTCCATCTCACTTCCAAAGATGAGGTATGATGACCATGATCATCTGAATCCTCCACAGCATGGACCTGCCTGTAGGCCTCCTGAAGAGCCTCCAACTCTGAGGCCCCACTTTGCACGTAAGACTGACCTGTAGAGGAAATGAATGAAGTTTATCCAGAAAGCAAAGTTAAAACTTGAATGATGTTTTAGGGAAGCTTCAGTCACGTTTAAAGACCTTCCTGAAAAAGCTCGTTTCACGTGTTTACATGCTTGTTTACATCCTGACCACATATGTATTGTTTACAATTTTGTCTTATAATCTGGTTTTCATTATGCATATTTACATATTATTTTACCTAATGAGGCTAAAGTTATTAAAATGTTTTCTGTAAAAGTCAATATATAATTCATTCATTGCATAGACTGAAAATGTCACATGTGAATCACAGTGTGTGAGATGTGGATTAGACACTTTATAACCTCAAATTGGGATTAAAGTAATCTCTGTCAAAGATCAGGGACTGTGGCTGATCTCCTTAGAAGTAGTAAAATCACACAGACACTAAAGAGAAAACTGCATCAGGAAAGAGAAGCCCAGAGAAAGGGCCACATCTTAAAGGAATACCAGAGCTGAAGACCATCTATCATCCTGACACTATATTTCTGATCATGGTGGAACTCACAGTACACTGGGAGGAGCGGATTGAGGAGGCCAATGAAAGGAAAGTACCAGGAACTAGTGCAGGAGTGCAGGGGAAGGGGCTGGAAGACTTTCTATGAGCCCATAGAAGTGGGATGTAGGGGCTTTGCAGGACGATCTCTCTGCAAAGTCCTAGGCCGGCTGGGCGTGGCTGGGGCAGCCAAGAAGAGGGCCGTCCAGGCTGTGAGCGAAGCAGCAGAGAAAGCCACAAGGTGGCTGTGGATTAAGAGGGCTGATCCGTGGGTAGCTACTGGTACGCAAGTCGGGGCCTGATCACCCCCGGCTGGGTCGCCTGGGTGAGGGTGTGTGATGTTGTGAGACCCGAAACACCTGATGACCCCAGGATACATCACTGAAGATGCGTACCAGTGCATCCAGGAGATGTGTCTTGTATAAGAAAATAATTTATAGAGTGAGGAGGAACTGGAGCGAAAAAAGAAGCAGCAGCACTCCTGACACAATTTGTATGTTGTATGGTCGTTACCCTTCAAGCTCAGTTTGTCAGCCACGGAACTGGGAGCGTGATGGTCCTACAAGCACTACCACTCACACTGTTTAGGGGTCCATGCCCCGAGTGCCCCAAACACCTCGTGAACCACTATTGGCTTCACCCTCCACACAAGCTCCTCTCACAGCCCTTGGGTTGTGTCGAGCTTTTTGTGTTACGTCCTCCTGATGTTGCTTCTACCTGGTATAACATTTATCACTATGGCCGTCTTCTTCTTCTACGCCTGGTCATCACCAGTCTGTGAGAGCGTTCAACCATAGAACTGGGACTGAACTGCACTTGTGGTGTGGTAGACCCCAGCCTCTATCGAGCTTGTGCCTTTGGTGCCATTGGTAGGATTTTTCAATATCAGGTATTTCTATCTGCTGGTGGTGCATGTTGTGCAGAGGTTTGTCTTTCCATGATGTTTCCGTTCTCTGTGTTTCTGTTGCCTCAACAGAACCATGTACTCACTAGGCACACTATCAGCTGTGGCCATGTTCCTGGTGTACTCATGGATCTTAGCCGTTTCATTCTGAATAGTGGTTCTGACTTTCACTGGTTCTTAGCCTCCTTCCTTTCGCTATGTATCGTCTCAGGGTGCTGGACTTGGGCTGAAAGCCTCCATGCACAGAACATGGCCCCCTGCTAAGTCCAGTATCTAATTTAAAATCCTTCTCATCACATAAAACATCTTACGTACAGTATTTCCCCACAGAACAGTGTAATTTAAGTTCTACGCCTCCCAGAAACTACACAGAAAGGCATAAAGTCAAACATGACTTTCAAAAACACCAGCTGACCTTTGAAAGGCCCTGTAGGGGGAAAACTATTTTCCCCACGAAAAGCGACACCACTTCCGGTTCCCCCAGGTAATGGCGGACTTGAAAGTTCGCACTGACAATTTGATGATGTTAATTGCAACGTAGGAAGTGCTATGAACAGCTGATCAAGGTGTGTTTCTGGATTATGTTACTGTTGTTGCGAGCACGTTTTACTTGATTTTTGCAAAGGAAACCCTGACCTGGGACAAGTTGAATGCATGCTGTGTAAGTACAACTCCTGTGGTTTCATACGCAAAAAAATGATTGCACTAGCTTATTTGTGTCATTGCGGGGCAAGCCGTGTGTAAATTATTAAAGGACCCTTTATGCAGGCAGCTCAGATGCAAGTGAGTTTATTCATCAAATGTTGATACAAACAGAGATGGCGAGGGTGAGCATGAAACTAAGAAAAAACCTAAACTGGAAAAACTAACAAAACAAACCAGAAACAGAGATGCAGGGAGACACGGAGAGACAACCTGAGACGACAGAGGGAGAGACGCAGACCAGAAAACACCAAATAACGCAGACAAACCAGCAACGCACACGAGAAAACACAGGGTTTAAATACACACAGGGCAATCAGGGAATGGGAAACAGGAGGGAGACACGGCTGGCAGTAATTGGACATAACGAGACAAGGGGAGGCGAAACCAGAAATGCTGACGAGAGACGCAGACCTATAAAATAAAACAGGAACTCACACATGCAAAGACACAGACTAAGGAACACGGACTTTACACAAAGGAAAGCACAGACAGAAATGACTAAACACTAAACTGAGGAAGAACAGAACCAAAATATATCACAACAATAGAAAACACAAAACGCTGGGTCAAAGACCCAGGATCATGACAATTCTACCAGGATTTTAAAATAGTTACACAAATGGGAGCGTGTACGCTCCCATGGGCTTAAAGGGTTAAAGTACTTGCTCATACGGGGTCATCTGATTGGTGGAATTTTCTCTGGATCATTGTAGAGTCTTTACCTTACAATATAAAGCACCTTGAGCCAATTGTTGTTGTGATTTGGCGCTGTATAAATGAAACTGAATTAGCCAGCTGGTTGCAGTGATGGTCACAGTAGGGATTGTGCATAATGCTGCACTCTTATCCTCTAGCAGACTTTCACAGGGTACGTGACACGGGTCTTGGTAAATAGCCATGTAGAGTCTAAATTTTCTTTGCCATGATCTTCTCTTTCAGGTCAGCTGCTCTGGCATTCAATGTCAGTAGTCTCTATCGTCTCCTGTGGCCAGCGTATTATTCTAGTGGGGGATCTGATAATTGGTGCATGCATTGATGGCTGTGATCTTATTCCTACCGTTCAAATGGCTTCTCAGCAGCTGTCTCGCCTTCTGGAAATATCTGGCTGTGGCTACCCTTTCTACATCTTCATCATGGTTCCTGTTGGCCTGTGGGTAACCCAAGTACTTGTAGCTGTCCTGTGCATCTCCTATTCTGCCTTTTTACAGCTCAACCCATTCAGCCTGGACCATCTTCACTTTCTTTGCAACCATTCAGCCACCCTTATCCAGTCACAAGAACGTCCAGATATCCTTGCGGCAGATCCTGGTGAGATGGATCAGTAAAGTAATGTCTCACTAACTCTTGGGATATAGCTCGATGTCATCCATGTACAGCAAAAGGCCGATGGTATTTGCTCTTAATGACGAGCTGACTTAGGCGAGTGAAGCCTATGCAGAACAGCAGTGGGGACAGTGCATTACTGTGTGATTGCCTTGTAGATGGTGTCCAGTGTCATTTTCCACAGTCCCACTGAATTTCTGATGAATATAATTAGGGCACTATTAGAGCACCTTGTACAGTGCCAAGCACTCCAATATACTCAATCCAGCTTCATCTGTTGGCCTGAGCTACAGCCACCCACATGATCTCACCTTCAGCTCTAGGTGTGTCTGGCTTGTGCTATTGTTCCCTTGTAGCTGAGATTCCCCCATAGATGAATCTTTGGAGAAACAGGCTATTTATTCTTTTTGCCTCTCTTCATCCTAGTGGCCAACGTTGTGACCCTTATTCTGGATCCGGTCTTTTATCAGTTCCCAGAGTCAGAACCAGACACGGAGAAGCTGCATTCAGCTTTTATGCTCCTTATATCTGAAACAAACTCCCAGAAAGCCTCAGATCAGCTGAAACACTCAGTTTATTTAAATCCAGGTTGAAGACTCACCTGTTCTCAGCTGCATTTGAATAAAACACCAAATCCATTATCTACTGTTTTTTTTTAAAATCAATTTTAAATCATGCTTTTTATTTGTTTTTGTTTTTTAATGTCTCTGTAAAGCACTTTGAAGCACCTTGTTGTTGAATTGTGCTATATAAATAAACTTGCCTTAGTTTGACAGTTTCTAGAACTCAGTTATTGAGATCTTGTCCCTCTTTTTCATCCAGCAGCTGTCTCTCAGAGTCCTTCTGTACCTCTGTTAACTAACATGTTTCTAGGCTTCTCTGATTTACACTGAATTACACCACACGGTTCTACCATAGTTGGCTCTTTACATCCACACAGCTTACTACTGTTCCCATTGTAGCCTCTTGATTTCCAGCTAACAGGGGCTCCTTGATCAGTGTGTCTTATTTGCATTGTACTCATTCATAGAGCCCACATACACTGCATATAAATGCTCTCATTGTGCGTGTCTAAGATATTAGGTTTCAAATAAAACCACTTTAAAATACACATATCGATATTCTTCTCTGGAGTTGGTGTTGCCTCTGTTCAGACTCCACTGTGTTGTTCTTTCTCTCCTCTTCGCCTGCCTCATCCAGAGAATCATGAAAAGACACTGAAACAAACATTAAGTTGGAGTGACATATATTCTTCAATAACTAAATCCAAAACAAACAAAAGAAGAGGAAGCCTTTAAGGTTTGATGAAGACCTCAATCATATGTTTTGGAGAAAGTGTTGTTGTGTTTCAGACAGAGCTGAGAAGTAACAAAGTACTTGTACTTTGTTACTCTACAAACTTTATTCATTCTTCTTGCCTCCTCCACTTCCGTACCATTGATTCATTAATGTTGAATTATCTGGCAGCTGCTCTATTCTGGACCTGAAAACAGGGTTTGATCTTTGGTTTCACTCTGTAATACTGGGCTTATTTTTCTCTGAACGTTTGAACTTTGAGAGTTTAAACAGGAGAGAAAAGTGTGAAAATGTTCGTGCCTGTCTGAGAAAAGTGTAGAAAGTGTGTAGTGAGGGGTTTTACAGCCTTAAAACATCTATAATAACTGTAAAAAATAAAGCTGGCTACTTTGTGGATTTCACCTTTCACGGGTCATTTTTACAACGTAACTCCCGCGATAAACGAAGGACCGCTGTACTCTGAGAAATGGAAGTTAGCAAAGATGGCTCATGAAACATCTGCTGACATCTGTTAAAGTCAGCTGTGTGAATCCACAAAGATCAGCAGCTCTGCTGATCACAGCCTGTCCACAAAGAAAATCTCCTCAAGCTCACATTAGACCACAACTTAGACCACAAAAGTTTAGGGTTCTCCCACATGTTGAATCTAACTGTGGCGGGGGCGTGGTTTGCTGGCCTGTTGCAGAGGAGGGGTGACACAGTGAGCTCTCCGGGCGGCACGGAGGCGGGGAGGGAAAAGGTGTACGGGACTGTTAATGAGGGAGATGTGTCTTAAAAAAAAAAAAAGGTAAATGGCCTGCATTTGTATAGCGCTTTAATTAGTCGCTAAGGACCCCAAAGCGCTTCACACTACATTCACCATTCACACACTGGTGATGGCAGCTACATTGTAGCCACAGCTGCCCTGGGGCGCACTGACAGAGGCGAGGCTGCCAGACACAGGCGCCACCGGGCCCTCTGACCACCACCAGTAGGCAAACATGGGGTTAGTATCTTGCCCAAGGATATTTGGCATGCAGCCTGGAGGCAGTCTGGGATCGAACCACCGACCTTCTGGTTAGTGGCTGACCTGCTCTGCCACCTGAGCTACAGCCACCCTTATGCGTCTTATGTGTGTCTGCAGTGAGAAGGAGCAGAAGATGCTGGGAGAGAGTCGGAGTGGCTGCGTCCGAGGCGGGTGCCAAAAACCGCAGATTATTTCTCAATAAAGCCAGGGGTCGGCAACCCTGGGCACACGTGCCACTGTTGGCACGACCATAGCTGGACTGGCCATCGGGCATATTAAAGTTGTAACCATCTCTACAGCTGTGACCCTGACCAATACGTCGTCTCCTGTTAATTCGCATTTGCTCAGTGGCATTTGCTCAGTGGCATTTGCTCAGTGGCATTTGCTCAGTGGCCGGCCAGATGATTTTTTTTTTTTTTTGTAATGGTATAAACAATGAAAGGTGGTGGATTGGCCAGATGCTGGCAGATGTGTAAAAATAACTCAGTTGTTTGGTGGTGGCTATGGCGGGGCTTCCACAGATTCAGTGACATTAGCAAGTGGTGGAGGCCAGCAGGTGGAGGAGGGAGATCGGAGTCAGGAGGAGCAGAGACCCGAGGCGGCCGCCGGTCCGAGTGTGAACTGAACTTCAGGTAAGAAGTTATGACCTGCAGTCTATCTGGTCAGATATGAACCAAGTTTAGGTGGAGTTTATTTTCGTTATGCTGACTTTTTACAGTCAGTTACAATAACTCGTACTGCGTACTAGCTAGCATGACGCAGTTTCTATACAGCTGGGTGGGTGCTATGATGTTACTGATAGTGAACTTTATTTAATTCATAAGGTTAGTTAGTAGCTGCCAACCGTCCCTTGAAAATATGGAATCGTCCCGCATTCAGAGAAAATATTACGCGTTTCATGTTGAGCTGAAAAGGAGCAGTTTGTCCCGGACTTCAGCTGAAAAAGACACAAAGCTGGAGTTATTCTGTCGTAACGCTGCACAGCTGCCTCTTCTCCTCTCATTCTCTCCTCCTGCCTCTCCTGTTGCTACTTCAATCATGAAACTGATCAATGATCAGCTGATCGTCTCTCGTTTATTTATCATCCACTTTGTGCCAGAAAGAGGAAACCAGCAGATGTCGCGCTAAACAACAGCAGCACGTTTAAGCTTGATCAGCTGTTGTTAGAATTTATTTAATATTAATTTCTAGTATCAGCTGATGTTTGCTGGAGCCACAGCTGTAAAGCTGCTGGTCATGATGTCGGTTTGGATATGTGGTGAGAGGGAAACATGAAGATGAAACCAGGAGATGTCCTTACTGAATCATCAGAGCTGTGATGGAGAAACAGGTTTACCTTTTAGGTGACATGGATGAGTTGAAGTTATGAACTGTTTCTGAGAGACAAATAACACCAGGATCCTTTTCTCAGTAGCTGACAGCTGGTAACTGTGCAGGGGTGGGTCTAGCAAAGTGTTGCCAGGGGGGCAGGTAGGCATTAACAGGGAGAGGGGGGCACAAGGAAATACTTTTATTTCTTATTCTCATTTTAAATGTCTCACTTTTATTAAATAATTATCTGAATCTTACAACCAAAGTCTTTATCTGATGTAAAATGTATAGAAATCACACATATACCAACAAGACTGTGCATCACTGTCACCACAGCGTTTGTTTTCATTCAAAGGCTTTATGGCTTTTATACCTGGGGGGCCGGTCTCTAGTCAAAATGTCCAGGCTGATGTTTTGTCCCAGTCCAGCCCTGGGCACGACACGCAGTGAGTTAATCTGAGAGGTGCATTAAAAAATAAATGGCTGGGCCAGCGGTGCACATCGCAAATTAGCTCGCATAGACACATTAGTTGTGCTGCTTCTTAATGACGGTATCTTAGCTAACAACCCAACTACCAGATTCAACTTGTAATTGGCTAAAAATAAGTTAGCCTACCGGTGAGAGGGACATTGTTAGCTTTCCACATTCCGACACTTCAACAGCTTCAGCAGCTGTCCGCTCAGCATCAGCACCACGGAAATACACAGATACATCCGTAGACTCGAGACACAACGTGTTTTTGGGACTTTCAGGTGTTTGGACCAATGTTTTATTTTCTGAACAAACCAGAAATCTTTAATGAGCAGCTGGATTTGTCTCCCATTAACTGGCTGAGTTAATACCAGTTAATGCAACATCGAAGCAGCTGGAATCCACAGCTGTGCGTGTTCATGGAGCTGCATGTTCACCTGCTGGACGTCACTACCTGACAGGTTTAACTGTCTTCAGAACATTGCAGAGGCCTTATTGACAGTAGCTTGCCATCACCAGTGTGTGAATGTGTGGATGACTGAATGTAGTGTAAAGCGCTTTGGGGCCCTTAGGGACTGAGTAAAGCGCTATACAAATGCAGGCCATTTACCATATTTGGCTCTACATGTCTGCGTGAGCAGGTTTTCTCACACATGAGTCCTCAGGTCGCCTCTGAATGCTGGACACTGGGAGACCTGTGTCTCTGAGTGGGAGACCAGAGATCACAGTAACATGTGTGTCTCTGTATTAACAAACATGCCATATTGGCCCAGTTTATTTTTCTTATCATTGTTGTGAGGAGACCATAAATAGCATTTGTATTTTCTGTTGTTCAGTTCATTTGCTGTTATGGATTAAAAGTGTTTTGTTTCTAAATAGCTGATAACTATTCGCTGACAGCTGCAAACATCTGTGAACAAATATAATCCTATAACGTTGTTCTATATAGTGAGTAACTGTTCATATAGAGCGTTATTAGATTTATTGCTAATGCAGTCATACGGCACACTGACCTCTGAGGAAATGGTAGATGCACTCATCATCAGAAAGGTGTGTGTGGGTCCTGTGTTACACGAACTTTAAGCCCCGACTGCACTCGTTTTTCTATTTAGGTCTACCTGCACTGTAGTTCTCTAATTCTCTGCACGTGTCCTACATAACAGAGTCAAGCTGAGTACATTCATTACAACTAGAATTTAGATTCAAATAACATTTGTATTCTCATGTACTTTATTTTATTATCATATTAATAGAGCACAAGAGTCAGTTACTTTGTACTGTCTTACTCTGAGTACATTTCAGAGCCTGTAGTTTTTTACTTTACTTGAGTAAAGAAGTTGATTCAGTACATCAGGCTTTACTGGAGTATTTTTTAAACTATCTGTACTTCAGATTGAATCATTATGACGAGACTTGGAAGAAGAAGAACCATTTAGACCTCACAGGCTTAATGGGAACTAAAGGTCATCGCTTTAGGAACACTGCCGGTGACGACAGTAACACATCTCAGTGTGCTGGCCTCAGCACAATGTCATCTGTGTCTTACCTCTGGCAAGAACTGAAGCCGTCGTTGACGTCTGAAAAAGGACAAGAGTGTGACAGTGCCACAGTCACATGATATCCGTTCATTTGGAACAGTAAGTGATATATTACTAACATGAATTATACACCGCTGTTATTATATCCACTGGTTATCCTGAGGTCGCTGTTAAACAATCATACGGTTTCCCCCTGGACAAACGTCCAGTTGAACTCAGATCCAGTTTGTTTAGCTAATTTTTTCTTTTTACAGCATTTTTAACTTTGCAGATACATCAACAAAGTGTGTTCAGCGACACTGATTTACAGTGTTATACTGTATATACTATTGAACTTTATTCTGTGTGCTTTTCATTGGAAAATGAACTTTCTGATGAAGTTTCTAATATTTTTGACTTTAACAGGTACAGATTTGAGCACAAACCTCCTCCAGTGGAACCTTCACGTCCTCGTCATCTTCAAAATCCTCGCTGTAGTGTGGGGAGCCTGTGAAGGCTGAGAGAGGACAGACATGATTAAGACAAAGACAGAGACACAGCAGAGTTGGCCTAGATTTCATTATTCTTACCTGGACTGATCGTCCCTCTGGCCTTGCTGTGATCATCACCGCCCCCTCGCTCCACTGGTTCTTCTGCTTCTTCTACATTCCTGCAGGGAGGACATCCTTCTTATTACATTGAAATTACAACACTGAGCTCCACAGCAGCAGCTGTTGTAGAGACGCTGTAAGCACAGCTGTGCTTTACTACTGTCCAAAATTAACTCATGTGTCTTACTCAGAAGCCTCATTTAGGGGCCTTGGGGGTGGGCACGCTACATGGCGTCCAGAGGACGGTGTGTGTATTCAAGCTCACCTCAGTTTGTGTCCACGAATAGATCGTTACACGGAGAAACCCTTTGAATACAAGCATGCTCACGCACACAGGTGTGCACGGACACCTTTGCTGCTGCCTTTAAACATATTGATCGTTGTCAGTCCTGCGTGCTGCTCATTAAGTTTCAGTATTTATTATTTCCTGTTACTGACACTTATCCAGGCTGCTGCTGTGGTCTGCTACTGTGTTGTTCTCTTTTTACTTGTTTCTTCTTTTCTTCCAGCAGGTGATCCAGCTGATGTTTACTGTCTTTCCCTTTCCTATCCCCCAGTCATGTATGTTCCCATTGTAATAACTTAAAAGTTAAAAAAATAAAATAAAGATCAATCAAGTGGACCAGTATGGCAAAGCCGTAATGATCCACTCGGAAAAATAAACCCGTCGGGCATCTTTCTGGACCTTAGGCTGCTGCTGAACGGGGCAGGAGGGAAAAAAGCCTAATTTAACTGAAATGACCACAAGGGGAGAAAAGTATCTACCATGAAATTCAGTAAGTAGTTATGCAGTATAGCGGTCATCAGCAACAGATACGAGTATTTAATTGATTTACTTGTAATTCCTTTACTAATTGAAACAGTAAAAACTGTATTAAGTGATAATATTTGCTGAGCTTTATCAGACTAATACGTAATGCTAACAACTTTATAAAGGTTTGTATTTTTGGACGGTGGATCCCCAAAGTGACTCAAAGACAGACTCTCTGCAGCTGTCCACAAAACATCATTTTCACATAACCAGAGATGGGCAGTGTAATCCGATTACTTTTTTCGAGTAATGAGTAAAGTAAGGGGTTACTATTGCAAAAAAGGTAATTAGATTACTGTTAGCGAAAAAAAACCCTAAACGTCTGATCAAGCACCAAATACGCTGCTGCAGTGTGAAACTCACAGAGAAACTCGCGGATCCTTCCACTGACCGCTGTGACACAACTGCACCAGGGTAAACCTCCGCCTGCCCCACTCCTGATATACAGGTGAAAATAGAGCAACAGGACCGCTGAGTCTTTGACTTTATTTATTTTCTGCTGTGTTTTACTTGCATCTATTTGAAAGTGTGAGAGTGTAAACACACAAAATATTTTATTTTATAAGCTTTATGCAGAAAATAGGTTTAAATGTTAAACTAATTTCTTCCAGTCAGAGAATGTTGCAGATAATTAAATTTTTGCTTGATGCATAAAGTTAAAAGATTAAAACTAATAAAACAAGTTTTAAAAAGAGACTTTTCCATTTGATTACATTTTGTATGATGGATTATGTAGAAAAAGTAGAATTGGGCTGAAAGATCTATTGTTTTTTTTAGGGGATAAATCATGTTTTAAAAAGTAACTAAGTAACTAATTACTTTAAAAAAAGTAATCAGTAAAGTAGCGTGATTACTTTTTTCAAGTAACTTGACCAACACTGCACATAACTGACTTTAACTGATTTTCAAATGTTTGAATATTTAGTTTGAGAAACGATTTCCTTTTTCCTAAATGCAATGAAAACCTGTTGTGTTGATGGCTGCTGCTGCTGCTGCTGCTGCTGCCACTCTGCACTCATGTACACAAACTGATTTAGATGTGAAAAGTTCTGATGGTCTTCTGTTAAGCTTTTGTTCATGTTTGAATCTCACTGCAAGAAGGAAATGCAGCACAGGAACTTTCTCTGTGTTCGAACAGGTTTTAGTGACGGGTGAATGAACACAGTGCTCAATGGAAACACAAGAGCTAAATGTGGCAAAATGAAGAGAGGTGAAATAAAGGATCATTTACTAGTGCTGAGGGGATGTAACAGAAAGAAAGAAAGTGTACTTTATTGGTCCCCGTGGGGAAAATCCCTCTCTGCATTTAACCCATTCACTCAGTGAAGCAGTGGGCAGCCACTGGGCGCCCAGGGAGCAGTGTGTAGGGACGGTACCTTGCTCAGGGGTACCTCAGGGTAGTTGTTCAGGGGAATCTAACCCCCGACCTTCCGATCATGGGGCCACCACTCTACCTGCTGAGCTATCCCTGCCCTAACACATAGCTGCTGACATGCCTGTAGTTGTTTGCAGGGGTAGAACGTGTTGAGTCCAGCTCCCTGTTCAGCTTGGAGTAGTCTATAGTAGATGAAGCTCCTGCCTCCAGCTGGGCAAAGAACCTGGCCTTCTCCTCTTCCTCCTCCAGAGTGTCTAAACCCACCGCGCTCATGTACACAGCTGGCACCGTCGCCGAGCCTGCACACACATTTAAACACAGCACAAGTGGGATACTTCTCCACAAGACTCCTTCATGTATAGTGCTTTATGTGGGTGGACAATAACGGTGGAGCTACTCAGTGCTACATGCTCAAAAAAATGTTTTGCACCATTGCCATCCTGGTTACATAATAAAAGATGAAAAATGCTTTTTGATCTGGATCTGGGAGAACTGGAGTGCTAGCACAGTTTCTCCAAGCATGAATTTGTGTAACACCTTCTTAGCTGTCAGTACATTTCTGCAGCCTCCCAAATAAACTGGTAGTCTCACAAATTTCACTGAACATCTGTTTCTGTTCTTCATCGCATATTTTTCTTCTCGGGCTTCTTTCCATTTGAGCCTATTATTGATTTTCTTTCTTTTATAAAAAGTTTCTCAGCAGAGTTTTCTGCATGCTCCTCTGTTGTTTGCTTTTTAAATACCTTCACATATCGCTCTCGCTGGTTCGTCTGTGTGTTCAAGGACTCACCCTCTGTGTCTTTGTTGTCTCTCAGGACGAGGTCTTCCTCCTTTGAGTGAATACCTTCTGCCTCCTCATCCTCCTCTTGAATAGACTCAGACTTCCTTAAAGAAATCTGAAATTCCAACCGTGCTGACAGAAATAAAAACATCTTGATCTAAACAAATTAGGAAAAGCAACATCGATCCACCACCTGGGACCCAACAACACATCAGACACAGTCACCATAATAGAAACGATATTATTGGCTAAACAAAAGGCCCACGCTGCCACCTAGTGTAGGCATCAGCTCACTGACTGTCTTCATCAGATCATTTCAATTTTTTCTGTTTAGCCTGTGTCAGGTTTTAGGTGCTGTTGAAACATTTCTCGCTGTCTCATGTTATAGAATGACACCAACATTAACATGTACAGTAAGGTCCTATCATCACTTGAATAACCCAATCAGGGTGGCTGGTATCCCTGAGCAACATGCTGAGGCCACGTTGGTCTCTGATGCAGCCGAGTATGAATGTGTGTGAATGTTAGACAGAAAGCACTAAAACAAGAAGGACGTGCTGGTGTGAATGGGTGAAGTGAAGACAACGTACAAAAAATAAATAGTTATTCGAGTGACTGTCAGACGTTTAGCTGGATGCAACCCAACACATTCAGAACGCACTGGAGCAGCTTAGAGCACATTTAAGTTCAATATTAGCTCTAGTCTGAAAGGTTCCTGTTTATAGTTTCTTATGTATAACATTTTATAGTAAACAGTATAAATGTGTTCTTAAGATGTATTTATTATTGTTGTTATTTTAGTTTGATGAGTGGCTGCTTGCTGGTTTCTACCAGAGACACAAATCCCCTTCGAGGCTTTCGTTTGTATTAAATATGAGTAAACAGTAAAACATGTTCCCAACTGCTAACAAATACATCCTTGTGGTTTATGCAATGATAAAAACATGCGATTAAAAGAAGCTGCAATTCCTGCATTAGATGCATAAAATAACTGCAATGAAAAAGTCAGAACAAAGTCAATTACTCAAAAAAATGCATTTAGAAGCCACAATAAACAGGGCTGGGTTTAAAAGTAGCTCTTTGAATATAAATGTATTTTGCTAGAAACGCCAGAATCTCAGGGTAAAGCTTAGAAAACCGGCAGGCAGGTTTCATCCTTACAGAATCCACAGACATCCACATCACTCACACTCTCATAACACATACATGTAGGGCCTGCTACATGCTACATGGCATCCAGAGGACGGTCTGTGTATTCAGCCTCACCTCTGCTCTCTGGCAGCAGCACCATGCCCTCCCGTGTTTTAAATGCAAATGGCCTGTATTTATATAGCGCTTTACTCGTCCCTAAGGACCCCAAAGCGCTTTACACATCCAGTCATCCACCCATTCACACACACATCCACACACTGGTGATGGCAGCTACATTGTAGCCACAGCCACCCTGGGCGCACTGACAGAGGCGAGGCTGCCGGACACTGGCGCCACCGGCCCTCTGACCACCACCAGTAGGCAACGGGTGAAGTGTCTTGCCCAAGGACACAACGACCGAGACTGTCAGAGCCGGGGCTCGAACCGGCAACCTTCCGATTACAAGACGAACTCCCAACTCTTGAGCCACGATCGCCCCACATGCACTTTAGAACAACACGCAGCAGCACTACACATGAGCAGGAGGAGGGAGGTTTGGGGTCTTCCCCATAAATTAGAAAACGCAGTTTTTGCGTTGCAGTGTGGAAAAGCTAAAGCCAAAACAGAGGCTTTCGAAAAATGATAACGCATTTTAGTCACATGATGCAGTCATGCGACCAATTCAACTAAGATGACGGACGGCATGGTGTTTAGTCTTTTCCCATTTTTCACAGCCCCGTTAAAGATTACTATCTGTTTGCACATGCTCCCCAAAGCTTTTCTTCAAAGAGGACCAAATGCTAATTTCGGCATATTTGTTTTGGTCTATATTCTCGCTCGCTTTTCAATTTTGTACTCTTGTGTTACTCGCAGCAACAACTCCACCTCATTGTTAGTCCATTTAAAAAACTCTGTGTTTTTCCTCGACATTTTGCCGCAACGTTTCAGAGAGTTGGAAAGTAAATAAACAGCAGACAGAAATGAGGCAGGTTGAATTGTCTCACGTTTCACGCATGAGCAGTACTGGAACGTAGGCGTTTTTAGTCGTTTCATTGTGGATGAAAAACTCGTCGGCTCCTGTGGACACGGAGCGTTTTTAGATGAAAACACCGTTTTCAAATTTATCCAGATTAGTGTAGACTAGGGCTGCCACGATTAGTCGACTATCAAAACCGTCGACGACTGATTTAATAGTCGACGCGTCGTTTGAAGCTTTGTAAGATCCACTTCACTACTCAGGTTAAACATGATATATGAGTCACTTAGATAACTTAAAAATGTTATTTGTAATATGTAATGTTATCTTTTTTTTAGTATTTATTTGTTCCTGAGTAAATCGGTTTGGCTGAGATTAAAGTTATAGTTTTTACACAGCTGAATAAACCTCAAGCAGACAACTGATTATCAGAAGTGTGAGATGCTGGAGAGTTTACTCCAGTGTCCTGTTATATTTTAGATAGAAAGGAGTTTATTAAACTTTACCAAAACAATCTGCAGATTTCATTAAAATGTAATAAACTATCATCTTGTCTTTATTGTTAGTTAGCACCTTACACACTTAAAGCTGTAAGCTAATGATAGTTATATCAGAGCAGATGCTGCTGGTGCAATAAGCTGTACTTTTACGTCCAATGGATGATGATCTGATTAGTCGACTATCAGAATAATCGTTTGTGGCAGCCCTGGTGTGGACGCAGCCTAATTCATGTTTTTATTTACAGATTTCTGCATCTAAGAAAAAAACCCCACAAACAGAGAGAGAGGAGAGAATGATCTACAATAAAGCTAATGTCTCACATGTGCATGTGCTGGATGTTTTATCATTATTACCTGCTGCTGATCCTCCACCACTGAGTGCCTCATCTTGCCTCACTCTTGGTTTCTGGTTGCTTTTAGAGTGTGGCTGCTTGTCAGCAGCACCTAAATCCACAGAGTCATCTGAAACAGACTGACAAAGAGATGCTCTTAAGACAAAACTGTGGTTTCCTGTTTTTTATTGCTGATATAAAGGGACCACTGATCACGGTGACATTTTTGATATTACATACACAAAGAGCTCCCTCTGTTTGGCTGAGATACGAACACTTCTCAGTAAAATCACTCCTGATATTAGCCTTTCAGCACCAGCACAGTTCACATGCAGTCGGCGCTCTAAGGGGCGCTGACTGTAGGCTAATCTTTGCTTGTAAAGCTGGTCATTAATGTTTACAGGCAGTTCTAAATATAGCCCAAGAGGGGTACAGATGAAAAACCCACCACCCAAAATAATAAGTGACCATTTAGATTTTGATGATCAGAATCAGATGAATGAAAGACTTTATACGGGTAATTGATAGTGTGAGGATGATTTACAAACATCGGCACAGACGCATTAATGTTGCGTTACCTCTTTTAAGAACTGCTCAAACTGTGCATCCAGCTCTTCTTTGGTTAGTCTGCGAGACATAATCACGCTCACCTCATCCACCAGCAGGAAACTAGGAAAGAACAACACACAATAAAACATTTTTATGAACATTATGAGAAGCATCACCCTCACCTACTTAATGCTCAGTTACAAAGAGTCCATATGCCATTCACAGAATGCTATTTCTGTTTTGTTGCATCATTCAAATGAATGAGAATAGTGTATGAAATATGTGAGATAACTAGGGTTTTGGCCCGGGAAGGGCTTGAAACAATTCACCCTATGAATCATCCAAACACTAATGTTCTCATGTCCTTTCAAGATTTCAGGTTTTCATTTAACAGGAGCAGAAAGCCTGTTCAGAAGCACATCAGTGTAATTCACTGCAGGTCTGTTCACAACTACTAACGTGCACAAACCGCACGCAAGGCTGAGTGGACGTATGGATGTCACATGTTTTCATCACATTTGAAAAACACAGAACAGTTGTAACCGAACTGCCTGACCACAGCCAACTGTTCAAGGAGAATGCACTGCCCACAAGAACCCAACAAACCACTTAAGCATGTTCCTTTTAAAAATGTGTTCACAGGAGTCAAAACCATCCAAAGTCAGCGTCCTACCTCAACAAAATAAACTTTCCTGTCCATCCAAATAAACTTCAAAGCACCTGTCAACCCATAGTAAGCACTTTGTGAAAGGCAATATCATTTCTGCTGGCTCATCTTGCTTTGACACTGTTTCACTGCATGAAATATCAAGATTGGAAGAATGCAGTGAAATGAAACATCGTTCAGTTGGTTGTATAAATTCTAAGTCGTTTCTTATAGAGACAACATTTATTTCTAAACGGTTTTAAACCAGAATTTTCAGACAAAATAGCATTTCTGTTACCATTTAGGGTGATTTTTTCTTCTTTGAAAAGTTACTGCGTTGCCTATAGTGGAGACTGATAAGGAATACACCTACTAGAAAATATGACACACTGTACTGTTGGTATATTACGTGCAGAAAACAGATTAGAAAACATAATGTTCTGTCCAAACACCCCAAACTACCATTACTTTAATGAGTGAAACACTGTGGTGTGTTTTGCATCACATTTGAGAGAAACCGAGTCCCCACTTTGACTGTGAATGGATCTTTACTAGGTCCTCAAAAACACTTAATGATGACAAAGCAAAGTCTTCAACCATAGATGGAGTTTGCTCAGTTGTCATGGAGATATCTCTTACGGCCATTTCACACCTGAATTATCGCCATGGCAACTGAGCAAACCATGCTGCTAATGAAGACTGAACTGAGTAGTTTCTTGAGTTATGATTACCTTATTAAATCAAACAGATTTTTCATATTAACTTTGACAACATTTTCGATGTGAGGCTCAAAATGATCCAAATATAAAGTGAAAAGACTCACTCGCCTAGCAGGTCAATCTTTTCTTCACTGTAACACGAGTATAACGTCAAACCATCATTACGCTTATTAACAACACAAATAGTCAAATATTTGCGGCTTTCACACTTATTTGACTTGGCTCTGATTCATATTGTTTAATTACTACATATGTGTTTTGTCAGGTTTCATTAGGTATGTGTGTTTGTGAAGGGGTTTTTCTGTAAAGCAAATTTACCTGTGGGTATAAATAAAGTAATCTTAACCTGGGTTTCTACGAGCACCATCAAGTGTTTTTCGACAACAGATTCTAAAATACTCTCACGCATCTTCGAATCTGTAATTCTCATTCAACTTAATTATACCTAATAATGTCTACTTTTGTTAGTGTTTTGTAAAGAATCGTTTCAGCAAATGAGTTTAATACTTCACTCTTATTGCCTGTTCTTATTGTCCTTATCTAAACGTTATGCTGCTTTGTTGTTTATTAGTTGCCCCTTGGGGATAAATAAATTCTGATTCTGATACTTTGTGACTGGGTTTTATTTTGAAAATGAACTAACTTACTTCCGGTACTTTCGGGCGCCTTAAAGCCAACTGCAGCCGCAGTTTATCTTGTAACGCTAGCTGGCTAAAGAGAAGAGCTATTCCCCTACTGCATCTGCTGCATCTTGAGTAGCTTAGCTGTGTCGCTCCTGTATCAGCACAACTCACATAACACAATGGACTTACTCAGCTGAACACTTGTTGAAACGTCTCCTCTGTTTGTTGTCTTAAATTGCCTGACGCAACCCGATTGGCTGACCCGATGCGTCACAGACCAACGACTACAGAAATAAATTCACGACCTTTCAAAAACTGAAAGCAAAGCGTCTCTATCGCCCCCTGGTGTCGGGCGGCAGGGTGGCTGTTAAACAGCCATTAGTAGTAACTCTCGTCTGGCTGATTTATTCTATTAGTTTTATTTTGATTAATAACCTGATTCTATAAGATGAGGCATTTGATTGGCAGCTGCTGTCACAGAGAAACATGCTTATGTCTGTTTGGAAAGCTTGCTGAAAGTCAGTCAGTGTGTCATTGTTTTACTAATACTTTTTTCACTAAGATGAGTCCATTTTCACATTTTGTATCTAATTTCTTTGTGATGACTTAAGAGATGATGAATCCATTATCAATTTGCAAGTTCTAAATACATTTTACTGACCACTATATGATTACTGTGATATTTGTGTTATACAAATGTTACACTAACAAAAAACATTTGACAGTCAACACAAACAGTTATTATCTTCAGACTTTTTTCATATGTATTTACTAACATTTCCTGTAGTTAGAACTTGAGATCAAACCTCACCGTGCAGCTTTTTCTATCTTAATGGAACTATGGTTTCAAGTTCAGGAGAAGTTTTTAACTGCAGTCTCAGTGGGCCAAAACTAGTGTCTCTGGATCCATATAATCTCTCTTTACAACTGCCTCACCAGCTCTGTTCCACACAACCTTGCACACACTCCCCCAGCTGTGTGACAGGGATACTAGCTGGAACAAGAACGCATACATGGTGCTCCATTTTGCTGACCATCATTCCAGTTTATCTGACAGACATTACCCATAATTTTGTGCACAGTAAGCACAATACACTCATACCATATAGCTTAGCTTGTAAAGTAACAGAGGAAGCATTAAATGAGCGTGCTTTCCTCCTGTCTGGGTGTTTGGTACGCAGGGGCCACTACTGAAAACAGGAAGCCTGTGCAGACGGTAATCAACACAATGCAAAAAATCACTGGCTGCCCTCTGCCTCACCTGGAGGCCATTGCCAGATCCTCCAGCCTCAGTAAAACCAGGGTAACCCCTTGCACCCCGTAACCCTTTTCTCACATACGAACTCTATACACAGACCTTTTGCACTGCTTCCAAACACTTTGTTCTCCATTGTGTGCCTTTCTCTTGTTTTGTATGTATTCGTCTTGACTGTATATATATCAGTTCATTTGCAATTTATTCCTGATGTCTTTATTATTTATATTTTTTTAATCCTCCACAGTTGGCATGGAGCACCCATGATTTTTTGTTGTACATGTGCAATGACAATAAAGGGCTATTCTATTATATTCTACTGCATTTGAGTTTCATAAAGTTATTTATCCAGAACTACTCCTGGAAATAGTTGTGTTTTACACCACATCACTAGACATCCTTAAGGCTTTTTGAGAGAGGATTTCTTAAGAAAAATATCACCTGCTACCAGAACAACTCACTGATAGTTGTCAAGAGTTAAGTTCAGGAAAGATATTCACAGATACAACAAAACAGATAAAGTGTTTAACACACAACTTACAAACAAATGCTTCAAATAGGGTTGTAGCAATAGGTATATACAGGCGGAGATAATATGAAATGAAAATTAAACCTGAACCATTGTAATATAATGGTTGTAATATAGCAGGCAGCACGGTGGCACGGTGGTTAGCACTGTTGCCGCACAGCAAGAAGGTCCTGAGTTCAATTCCACCATCAGGCCGGGGTCTTTCTGTGTGGAGTTTGCATGTTCTCCCCGTGTTTGCGTGGGTTCCCTCCGGGTACTCCGGCTTCCTCCCACCGTCCAAAGACATGCAGCTTGTGGGGATAGGTTAATTGGATAATCCAAATTGTCACTAGGGGTGAATGTGAGAGTGCGAATGGTTGTCTGTCTCTGTGTGTTGGCCCTGCGACAGACTGGCGACCTGTCCAGGGTGTACCCTGCCTCTCGCCCTATGACAGCTGGGATAGGCTCCAGTGCCCCCCGCGACCCTGAAAAGGAGAAGCGGAAACGAATGGATGGATGGATTGTAATATATGAGAATAATGAGAGTATTATTACCATTTCTGCTGCAGCAGATGGTGGAGGTGGAGAGCTGATGAGCATCTGCAAAATGATGCATTGTTCCGCCTGCCATCTCCGTCTGAGAGAGCACAAGCTATGCCCCATTAGCTCTGAATACACTGGCAGGGAAAAAGAGGGAGAGATTCGCTGAAAAAAGGTACAAAAATAATATAGAAGGAAGAGTTAACACTAGCTGCTTATGCTAAAAATGCTTTCATGCATGTGTACTGCTAAAATGATGCGTTAAGTTCAAAACAACTAACTAGTTCTGGTTCTCTCCGCATTGTTTGGTCGTGGAATGTCAGGGCTTAGAGACGGTGCCATCTCACGCTCCTGCGCTGTCCTCTTGTGAGATCGGTGAGCAAACTATTTTACCTGTTCATTGTTTATTTGCACTTATTATGAGTTCACTGTGAGTAAAATGTTTGTAGTGTTTACTGGAGAAATAGGTTACAATGTTTTGTGGAAATCTTTATTTGCTGAACAAAACTTGAGGCGATGCCCTACAGTTGTGTTTTCTTCAAAATGTGATTGAAATTGTAAATATTTTAACTACTGAAAAGACTAAAGAAGCCCTTGAAACCAATGCAACGATTATTACATATTTCACAGTTTTATTTTCAGTTGTAAACATGGTTAATGTTACAAACAGTACTTTTATGTGCTAACAGTGTGTGAAGTGTGATAATTTGGAAACTCAGTGTTTCCTATGACACTGTTGTTGACAGGTCAGGGTTTCTTTTCGATGCATTAGAATGGATCTGATATTGATGGCGAGCCAATCCCACCGACAGACCAGTTGATTTTGTTCCTGTGCTGCACGGCACACACACACACACACACACACACACACACACACACACACACACACACACACACACACACACACACACATACACACACACACACACACACACACACACACACACACACACACACACACACACACACACACACACACACACACACACACACACACACACACATTCCCCTGGACCTTTGGACATTTTACTTTGAGGAGTTTTACAGACATCTCCACAAACAGGAAGTGGATTTGGTGTGGGCAAGTTGGACCTGTTCCTCCAAATTAAGGTTTTGTTGCAACTAGCTAACAAGGTCTATGCAATGTCAAATGAATGTTGCCATTTGGACTTTTGTCTTTGAAATTGTGGTTTATTTTGAACTGGAAACCTCAATTATACATTTAGAAGGGTGTACCCAGGGGGTTTCCGGTACGTGTAAGGTGAGAGCTCCCAGACTCACTAACCAAAAATCCCCAAATTTACTCGAATTATTACTCTGACAGCATTTTACACTAATGGAGGGGAAAACTGGTCGTAAACAGAGAGGCAAGACACAGATGATGACAGCGACGAGGGTATGGATGGCCTGCAAGCTAGCATCCGTGCTAGCCACGAAGAGCTAAAAGCTACCAGGTTGGACATGAAAACAGACCTGAAAAATTTCAAAGATGCCTTCTCCACGGAACTTACGTGTTTTAGAAAAGATATTGATAACATATTAAACGAAATTGTCAGAGACATAAAGGACACAATAAGTAGAGTGGATGGGGCAGAAGGGAGGGTGGCGGAGGTGGAGGAGTGGGCTACCGTAGCTAACGAGGTTCTGCTTCAAGCTATTCAAGCACAAGAAAATATACAAGCTAAACTGACATACCTGGAAGCCCGATCACGAAGAAACAACATTCGTGTTTATGGAATCCCAGAACACACGGAAGGGAACAACCTACGGGAGTTCTTGGAAACATTTATTAAATCGGAGTTGTCCCTAAGTGATACTGAGCTGGGAATGCAAAGATGTCATAGAGCTCTCAGCCCGAAGCCACCGCCGAATGCCAGCCCCCAGTCAATAGTGATTTACTTTCTGAAGTACAGAATTAAAGAACTGGTGCTCTGCTCTGCTTGGAAAAAGAAAGGTCTTTCTGAACGGAGTGAGAATCTACTTTGACCAGGACTATCCCACTGAAATTCAACAGAAAAGAAAGGCTTACGCCCCCATCAGAAAAGGAAGGTTCTGAGCTCCGCGGGAGAACAGGCCCAATCCACGGATGCAACACAGGAAAAGCTGAAGCACCTTTCCTGGAAGACAGCAGAGACAGCGGGATGCCGGAACCGTGATGAACATCAAGAGAGAGCGAAGATGATGTTCTAGGCATTTCGACATGAACCAAGGGACACAGTTTGATCATGTTCTAAGCTGAATAGTTGAGAAATTCAGTTTCTCTACCGATTTGACTTTTCCTGGGTAAGGATTGACATTTCAGCCTTACACTGTACACAATACAATTTAGTGTAAACGTTTAGGTTTCATTTTACACCTAAATATATACTGAAAGTTAAATGTCTGCCTTAGAGTACTTAGAGATTAAAACACTGTTTGATTGTTTGATTACTTCTTACTTTGTGGTATTTTGTTTATGCATAACCTCAGGAGACGTCACTTTACACAGGAGAGGCCGCTTGTGAAACGACAGCTTTCCTCTCCAAAGGGTTTTTGGGGAATTCTGTTTTTTAGTCGAAACCACAGTTCTCTCATTTGTTCTGTTTTAGTTAAAGTTCAAGTTTCAAATTTTGAAATCAAATTTATGTTGTGTGTGGGTGTTTTTTGTTTATTTGTTGTTGTTTATTTGTTGTTGTTTTTGTTTTGTTTTATCACCCAGGTCTTACAAGGTAAATGCTCTGACTTATACAAGACATGTCATTTTAAGAGTACAGTTTAGTAACACTTAATGTTAATAGGGTTAGGGTTAAAAGAGGTAAGCTCTTTGCTTATAGAACAGTTACAAAAATTAAAAATCCACTAAGACCTATTCCCACAAACCCGAAGATATAGAAGAA